GGGTTGTCCCCTCTTCCTTTTTCCTTCCATTTTCCCCAGCATAATTGTCTTCTCTAAGCTTTCCTTTCTTCTCATGATGTGGCCAAAGTACTTCACCTTGGCCTCTACTATTCTGCCCTCCAATGAGCAGTCGGGCTTTATTTCCTGAAGTATGGACTGGTTGGATCTTCTCGCTGTCCAGGGCACTCTCAGCACTTTCCTCCAACACCACAGTTCAAAACCATCTATCTTCCTTCGCTCAGCCTTCCCTATGGTCCAGCTCTCCCATCACAGTGCTCTTTAACTACCATTATTCACTTTTCCACATAATCACCAGACAATTGGATACATTTTTGCCAACGATGAACAAGTTTTCTGAAGCTGTCACAGAAGAAGTCGACACCTGTTTCCGCAACCCATCGTGCACAGATCTTCCAATAGCCAAGCAAAGCAATAATGTGACCCACACATTCCTGTGAAACGCCGATTATGCCGATTTCTCTGAGTGATACGACGATCGTCCTGAATCAATCTGTCAACCTTTTGCTTGTGAAACTCAGTGGTTGCTGTCACAGGACGTCCAACTCTTTGTTTGTCACGCAAGTCAGATGTTCCCACCTCAACATCTTTAAGCTTACTCGTCCACAGTACTCACATCAACACAATCACCATAAACAGCTTGCATTCTCTGATGAATCTCCTTTGGAATGACACCTTCTGCTGTCAAGAATTCAATGACTGCACGTTGCTTAAGTCGCATTGACCAACCGTCTGCGCAGGGTTCCAGATGACACCACTTTGATGGCTGAAAGTGAGGAGGAGCTGAGAAACCTTCTAACTAAGTTGAAATTAGAAAGTGCAAAAGCTGGATTGGAGTTAAACATAAAAAAAACCCAGATGATGGCAACAAGACTGATTGACAACTTGCAAATAGAGGAAGAAAACGTGAAGAAACCGTCTGCGCAAGGTTCCATACTTTGCACTTTAACAACACAACTGTTCAATGCTAAGGCTTCCCACCAAAATGGAACTGTAGAGGGGAGTCTACTGAACAAGCCAGTACCTGCCACATACCAGAACTGTTGAGGAGTTATGAAGGTGAAGGCATTATTTTTCATTCAACCCTCATACATTCCCATTTTGATGGATTTATGGATTTATTGATGTTTCGTGGCTTGCCGCTAATAGCATCCATCATTCTATACACAAGGGTGGGCTACTGTAGCTGTGAGATGTGCTTGGTCTACACTAGTGGTGTCAAACAGTGGTCTACACCAGTGGTGTCAACATCTGAAGGGCCATAGTTGCACTACCTTTGTTGGAGGTGCCTGAATATTGTGAAGGAGGCGCTTTGATATATTTCTCAGTTCTCTTTGCACTATCTATGCAGCATAGCACAAGAGAATAACTATAAAATATGGAAGGCTAGGAGAGTCATGGAGAATGGATGAAAGAGTTAGGAGTGATGAGGAGAGAGCTGATGCACAAGCACATTTATATGGTAAGCAGAGGGATCAACATGATGCAAACAAGATAAGGCATATCCTGTCTATGTGGTTCTGCCTACAAGGTTCTCGCTGCACTGGAAGTCAAAGCATGTTCATGTTGTTCCCTTCCATTCTCTCCCACAATTAAGAGCAGAATGTGCCTTTCTGTAGGTGTTCTGTTGGGCACAGCTGGAGGTTTACAGGAACATATAGTAGTTAAGTCATGCAAGTCATCAATGCAAGCATCAGAATCATAGCCTATGGTGAAGTGATCGTTACAGATAATGCTGAGGAAACCAGAAAAAGGAAATCCTTTTCATGCCTGCTACATAGTCTTTCTCTGGGGGCACACACTGAACTACAAAGTCTCTATTGACTTTATGGTCCAAGTAAGAGACACAGGGTTTGGAAAAGCCTTTGAAGACTGTTCGGAAACTCCAATTAGTCCAACGGGCGGCAACTAGACTACTCACTGGAGCATCATATATGGAGCATACCATCCTCGTTATGTCAGCTCCACTGGCTGCCGGTCCAGTTCCGAGCACAATTCAAAGTGCTGGTCTTGACCTATAAAGCCCTTTATGGTTCCGACCCAGCTTACCTGTCCGAACGTATCTCCCTCTATGTACCACCTCGGAGTTTAACATCTTCTGGGGAGGCTCTGCTCTCGGTCCTGCCTCTGTCGCAAAAGTGCTTGGTGGGGACGAGGGACAGGGCCTTCTCAGTTGTGCCCCCCCCCCGCCCGTGGAATTCACTCCCCAGCGAAATTAGGCTAACCACATCTCTCCTCTCCTTCAGAAAGAAGTTAAAAATGTGGTTGTGGGACCAGGCCTTCGGGTAGTATGCTGACAATGACAATGGTAATGATGACAATCGCTATGGACTATGGACAAGCTTCTGATAGTCTCTGGTCATAGAAATTTGGCTTAGATTAGACCAACAGGCTGTAAGATTTTAATAGTTTGAACTGATTTAATGTTTGTAGGCAGGCATGTAGCCGGGGGGGGGGGGGGGGGGGGGGCTTGAGGGGCTTCAGCCCCCCCCCCGAAATTCTCATGGTGGTTTGCGAAAAGGCCTTACTGGTGCATTATTTAAACTGTTATGTTTATTCATATCATGATCTGATCACCATACTCAATATATCCCATATGCATGGGGGTTTTGGGGTAATGATACAAAGGGTTTGCTAGGGTAGACCCTCTTTCACTCAGACTCCCCCCCCCCCCCCGAAACTCAGCCCCCCCCCCCCCGAAAGAAATCCTGGCTACGGGCCTGTATGGTAATGTTTTTATTTATATGTAACTAGCCATCCCCTGCCATGCGTTGCTGTGGCCCAGTCTGTGTATATGTGTGTTGTGTGTATATATATGTGTGTGTATGTGTGTATATATGTATATGTGTATATGTGTGGTTTTGCACATGCTTTGTAATGGGGTGTTTGTTTTTTTGGCTTTTTCAGTCTCTTCCACTGTGTTTTTCAGTGTTTTTATGACTGATGGTCACTCGTTGACCTGATAGGGTATTGTGTCCAATTGTCAATTCGTCTCGTGGTTTTTGAGTTATGTTAATCCCACAAACGAACATTACATTTTTATTTATATAGATTATTGTATTTGTGTATTTAGTGGCATCGAATCGCTGCTGGCTGTGAGCTGCCCTGAGGCGCCCTCTTTACAAATTAGTGGCCTCGTCACAAATTGGTGGCATCTTCAGGAATCGTTACACTTGCATTCATCAAGTCCTACACATCGCATGATGTGTTCTGCATATAAGTTGAATAAGTTGGGTGAGAGTATACAACCCTGTCGTACGCCTTTCCCAATCTTGATCCATGGTCAGTTCTTACTATTGCTTCTTGCTGGGATTAGGGGGTCTTTTTTAACTCAAGAGGACACTTCTCCAGGAATCTCTAGATTCTGTAGCATGACTCCATTGGAAGTTGACCTCAGAATGGGTATGATTACAATCAAGATGGCATGTAGCCACCCCCCTTTCCCCGGGAAATACAGTATCTCAGTAATCTAAGAGTTACTTACAAGAACACTGATTTGAACAGAATGCCTTACTCACTGTAAAATCATTGCATAGCATATTGTTTACCTATATATCAATGGCAGTAAGAATATCTTATGCGAAACTTTGGAAAATAGATAAAATTCCAGAAACTGACGATTGGATAAATAAATTATGAGAAATTAGAGACATGGACAAACTAACGTTGTTTTTTTTAAAAAAAGGATAGCTCGGGAAGCCCAATAAAAAGGACGGACTGGTCCCCTTTCGAGGAATATGAGAAAGAGAAGAAACAGAAGGACAGTGCTTTACAATGAGTTTTTTTCCTTTTTCTTATTATTATCATTCATATTTTTATTTTAGTTTTTCTGTCTTTTCCTTTTTCTTTGTTGCAGATGAATTTATAGAGCAAGAAGATTAAAATGAAAACTTTAACTATAAATATAAAAAACGCGTTGCTGTGGCCCAGTCTGTTGATCTGGAAAATAAAGTAATGAGAAAGTGTTGGTTTCTAATATATGTAATGTCTTAAGCTTGTGGGTAAACAGTATTTCTTGCTGTTTCTTTGCCTGTGTTGATGTCTGGTTTGCCTACTCTGGAACACGGAACATATCATTGTCCTTCTTTAGGGGTCCCTTTCAAATCTTTGATACTGCATCTGTCATATACATATGTGTGTGTGAATGGCTGGATGGCCCTTTGTCAGGAGGGCTTTGATTATGTTTGCTTGCCCTGGTGAAGGGAGTTGGACTGGATGGCCTTAAGGCAGCATTTCTCAACCTGGGGTTTGGGACCCCGGGGGGGGGGGGGGGCGGGGGTGTCAGAGGGTTGCCAAAGACCACCAACTAAAGTATTTTCTGTTGGTCATGGGGGTTCTGTGTGGGAAGTTTGCCCCAAATCTGTCATTGGTGGGGTTCAGAATGCTCTTTGATTGTAGGTGAACTATAAATCCCAGTAACTACAACTCCCAAATGTCAAGGTCTATTTCTCCCAAACTCCATCTGTGTTCATATTTGGGCATATGAAATATCTGTGGCAAGTTTGGTCCAGACACATCATTGTTTGAGTCCACAGTTCTCTCTGATGTAGGTGAACTACAACTCCCAAAACTCAAGGTCAATGCCCACCAAACCCTTCTAGTGTTTTCTGTTGGTCAGGGGAGTCCTGTGTGCCAAGTTTGGTTCAATTCCATCGTTGGTGGAGTTCAGAATGCTCTTTGATTATAGGTGAACTATAAATCCCAGCAACTACAACTCCCAAATGACAAAATCATAATTTTTTGAGTGATGGTCACTCCTTGTGTTGTGAGACGTTTTGTGCCAAATTTGGTGTGATTTCGTTCATTGGTTCTTTTGTTTTTAAGGTACTCATTATGCACAGAGCATTTTTATATATATAGATTATTAATTATTTTTTGTGTATGTGCACTTTAAAAAATTAATTTAAAAAACCATTGCATAGCATAGACAATGAACATCTTTTAACAATAAATTGATCTGAAGTGATTTATAAAATGGACTATTGTGTGCGAAAGATATAATTTTATTACATGAAAGTCATGCCATTTTACAATTCCTATATAAATAAAACAGTTATATCAGTGTATGAAGAGTAGGTTAAAGTAGAGCTTCAAAATCAGGAACTCCAAACATACAACCACACAAAAAAACACAATGGTTACTTCTCAGGATCTCCATCATTTTCTTAAGAGAAATTGGTTATTTAAAGATTCAAGACATCCTAGAAAAACATCTTACCCTCTAGGCCAGTGGTTCTCAACCTGAGGTCCCCAGATGTTTTTGGCCTTCAACTCCCAGAAATCCTAACAGCTGGTATACTGGCTGGGATTTCTGGGAGTTGTAGGCCAAAAACATCTGGGAACCCCAGGTTGAGAACCACTGCTTTAGGCTATGGTTTGAACATCAAGGCAGTTAGTAGCTTTGAATTCTGGTTTGTCATATGGGAAAGGTATATACTATGTGGATGTCATACCCCTCTGATCCTGTAAACATCATAAAATTTGGTGGTCATGTATGTGGGCGAAGGCAAAAAGCATTTCAACTGACATTAGCCAGTAGTGTGTAACAGAAAATCCCATCAAGATTGCTTTTGCAAAAATATAAAGTGCTTGAAAAATATATTTACAAAAATTGTAATACATATTATGGGTATCTAACTATTAAGTGGATGAAAAACAAGCAAACGTAGCAAAATGAAACTACCATATTCACAGAAAGAGTCAGCCATGTAAATGACTAATAATACTGTACAGGCATTACCTGTTTGACTACCTATATTCAAAGTTATACAGCTTTACAGCATGCCTGCATTAATGTACTAGATCTTTTAAAAAGCGAAGAAGAATACAAAATATAATTAAATTATATACATATAAATAAATATAGTATATAAAAAGGGACAGGGGATTCTATAAAGCAGGAGTGCTATATTTGAGATTATCCATCAAATAATTTAAGTTTCAACAATTCTAGTTTGCAATCTCTGCCATTTTCCTTCTTTGTATTTCAAGCCAGAGTAATATTTCGACAAGAAACTCAACAGAAGTTTTCCCTTTGCAAAGACCCTGAAATAAGTGTCCAGTTCAGCGAATTAAAGGGCTGCCATGTCTGTTAATCCAAAGAAACAGTCTTCATTTTCTCTGCTAATTCTCGTCTTATTTCAATATGTTTTCTCATGTTTTGAACTTCGTGTGGCAGGTTGATGTCCCATACAGACACACATGACTGTATTCCTGTGAACAAATTAATAAGAAAAAATCAGCTGAAATACTTAACAAAAATTTCCTGCGTGTCTTCATGAGACAAAAATGTTAGAAATCCTACAGAAGAAAAGGGATGATGTTAGACACAAGCCTGCATTTTGTCTAGAATTAGATAGTACTTCTGCTGTCAATTAAAATGGTCTAGTCGAAGTACATCAATGCAGGAAGAGAGCGCTCTCCTTCTTGACCATGTGTGGACTAGTAACAAAGTAACTTTCCTTGAGATCCAGATTGCCCTGTCCTGCTTGAAGGCAACTGACCCTTTCTTAGGGCACTTCCAGACAGTGTCATAATCAAGGACAAAGAGGTGACACAAAAAATTGCAGGACCTGACAAAATTTGGATTTTATGATGTTTTTATTTTTATTTTATTTTATTGCTATTTTGATTATTAAGTTATAGTCATGTTGTTCTATATTGTCTAATGCAGTGTTTCTCAACCTGTGGGTCCCCAGATGTTTTGGCCTTCAACTCCCAGAAATCCTAACAGCTGGTAAACTGGCTGGGATTTCTGGGAGTTGTAGGCAAAAACACCTGGGGACTCACAGGTTGAGAAACACTGGTCTAATGTGACTTGTCCTGATGTAAACTGTTTGTATGGCTTTTCTTTTGGCACTGAATTTTTGCCATATATGTTGGAAACCACACCGAGTCCCTTCGTAGAGATAGGGCAGTCTATAAATAAATTATTATTATTATTATTATTATTATTATTATTATTATTATTATTAAGTTCAATCATGGAGCTGTCAGTCCCGGTAAATGCTCCCTCAGCATCCTGAAACCTTCGTTTATAGTGGATGTTAGAAATCAGCAAGAAGAATGGGGGAAATCTGGCGGAAGTATACTTTAAATTTTTAAAAATTAGCACTTTGAGATGTGTTGGACCTCTTAAGAACTGATGTGGATAACTGAATGTGCACACAAGTGAATTTCTTATTATCTCTCCTCACCCTAGTGTAAATTCAAGCTGTTTAATTTCATAAACATCAGAATATAAAGTGGTTGCAGAGAGTTCTCACTGATATTGCTTTCCAATTGTGCTGCCATTTAGTCACCTGTGTGTCTGTATCTCCATTTGTTTACAGCCCTCATTAGCTGTTTCAGGATTTTAAAATGTGGACATGCACTGGAGCAGTCCACACCAGCAAACTGCAATGAAGTCACGTGTTTTTCTTGAGTGTAGGAATATACAGTGATGCGAATATGGACATTTTTGGCTGAAATTGGATTTCAAGCACAATTTTAACACATTTTTTCCTGCTGTTATTGCAATACAGCACACATTTTTGGCAAACATCATGTAGCCACACCCCCTTCTATTCCAGTTTCGTCTGCTTTTTAGGGCCTGTATAGAAGGGCTTCCCTCTTTTCCTGTTTCTTGTTTCTGTTTCCTATTTCATCTGAACTCAGACAACAAAAAATAATGACAAAGATGAAACCATGGTTGTGTAGTTTAGTGTTATTTTAACTTCATAAAAATCAAAATTACTCGTGCTTGGACATTACAGCGAATTGTGATTAGTTTAGAAGCAAGATAATTGAAGTTTTGGATCATCTTTGGCAAAGGAGAAATGCACAAATGTAAATGCTTTTTCATTGCAGTTTAACCGTGCCTTATTTGATGTTTTAATATGAAATTAAAGCCATGGGGTGAAATCTATTTGCTTTGGAGAAAATACTATGAAATTCAATGGGCCATGTTTGTTGGTATATTGTGTGTGTGTGTGTGTGTGTGTGAGAGAGAGAGGATCTTAATGATTACAACACTCTGAATGTGTGCACATTCCCTCTGCAAAGATTATTTACATCTCTCATTAAAACAACTGGAAGCAATGGGATGAATGAATAATTTATTACAATCAACAGACCAGACAAGAAATAATAGGAAGTAGAATTATATTGTGTGTATTCAACATGAAATTACTTATTTTTGATAGTCTCTACAAAAGCAGAAGACTGAACAAAGCAACAGTGAAAATATTTGTACTGTGTAATCTCGTAAAACCATTACTTTTTAAATGGATATGTTTTATAGAAGGTATAGTAGTCTTCTGCATGACAAAGTCATGAATCCTTACCTTTGGCATATTTGTTGTCTTCACCGTCCCCTCTACGGCAGTATCCCAACACCAGAACAACATTTTTGAGACATCCTATTATCACATGGAAGGGGGGGAAAGAAAACATTAACCAGTACAGTTGTCCCTTCACATTTGTGGGTTAAGCATTTGTGGATTTGATTACTGGCAGGTTACTGTATTTGCTGTTTCCTGTGCTTCTGCTCTATATGTGATCAAAAATTATATTTATTTATTTACGCCATTTATATACCGCTTTTCTCAGCCCTCGGGCGACTCAAAGCGGTTTACAGTAGCAAAATTCAATGCTTGAACATCATAAAACAGGTTAAAACAATTAAAAACCATAGCATCAATATACAAACATTACAAAGTCAATACTACATAACTCATGGTGTCTCTTAGTTAAAATCAAGATCCAATCTCGTCATCCAGTCATTTCATGTTCCAATATTTGTTACACTGCCTTTTCGAATGCCTGCTCGAATAACCAGGTCTTAACCTTCCTATGAAATACTAACAGAGAAGGGGCCGATCTAATATTTCTGGGAAGGCGTTCCATAGCCGAGGGGCCACCACTGAGAAGGCCCTGTCTCTCATCCCCGCCAAACGTATTTGTGTTTCTAGGTCCTCCAGCATAATTTTATGTTCAATGTGTGATCATGGAATTGTGATAGAGATCCTAGAAATATTTAGATATGTGTTCTTTCAAATAAGAAGTGGGTTTGAATTTTGTATTCATATTTTATCTAAATTTCCCCTCATTATTGTAGGGATTTGTAGCCTTATTTCCCACAAATAGGGGCTACTATTTTTATTTAATTTCTTCAAAATGCAAAATTAAGACATTTCCCAAATTAAATAAAATTTAAGAAGCCAATACCAGTAACATTGTGCATTTTTGCACTGATGTGTGACATATAACTAAAGCTTTTTTTTTTTGAAGGATGGGAGAGGTTTTTGCTTTTTGAAGGATGGGAGAGGTCAGTAAGAGTTAAAACATTTTCCCAAAACAAAAAGCATAGAAATACTGTCAGAAGAAAATAAACAATAATGGCACTGTCAGGCCATCATATGCTAATCAAGGTGATCAGTTGAAACATTCACACCTAGCTCCAGCACACAAGAGTCCTTTGTCTCACCCTGGTCATTCCACAGATATATAAACCCTTTTTTTTAGTTCCAACAGACCTCACTACCTCTGAGGATGCTTGCCATAGATGCAGGTGAAACGTCAGGAGAGAATGCCTCTAGACCATGGCCATATAGCCCGAAAAAACCTACAACAACCAAGTGATTCCGGCCATGAAAGCCTTTGACAATAAAATTAAGAAATTTCCCAAATTAAATAAAGTTTAAGATACCAATATCAGTAATATTGTGCATTTTTGCACTGATGTGTGACATATAACTTAAGCTGTTCTTGCTTTTTGAAGGATGGGAGAGGTCCATAAGAGTTAAAACATTTGCCCAAAACAAAAAGCATGGAAATACCGTCAGACGAAGAACATAAAGAAATGTGTATATTTATCCCTAGTGTCCCATCAGTTCTATACAACAGGTTTTGCTGTTAAGATGAAGGTAGCCTTAATGGATTTTGAATCTCTGCAATCACTGCAGTCACTTGCTTTATGTGGAAAGGTTATTTATACACTAAAACAAACCTATATATTAAACGCGCACACACATTTACTTGGCATTTCTACTGATTTCATCAGTTATTACTATAAAGGAATTGAAAGGTTGTTCAAATGGATGGCGAAATTCATCCAAGAGCAATCATACAAATACTCCATAAATATAGGCACATAAAATTCCATCTTTACATTTCCCTAAGCTATGGTTTAATATGTTCAGTTTCATAGCAATCCATTAACAGGCTTTTCTATCCTTATGCATCACAGCTCCCTCCACAGCAGTGAAATAATGCAAACAGAACTTTGGGGACAAAGTTCTAAAATAAGCACGAGTGGGTGAATTCTTGCCAGCAGAACAGTCTTGCTCAACTAAAATGTATTAATATTATATATTTAAGCACAGAGACACTAAAATAGTTTTTCTCCTGGCACTGAAATGCTTAATCTCTCAGTGCTATCAGTGAATAATAACTTTAAAATTCTCAAGGTGGTTCTTGTTTACTAATTTAGACAAGTGTTTATGTATCTAATATATGTCCATACATAGGGCCATTGCCCAAAGAACAACTTGGAAAAAGTAAAACGAGGGAGAAAGAGGGTAAGATTAATTGGTGTTAGTTTAAAAGGAAGCTATTTTAAACTTAAACTGTATTATATGCTTCTCGATTTTAACTACACTTTCACTTCTGTAACTTATTTTTGAAGAATTAAAATGAAGAATGAATAACTAATTCCCATGCCAGGTCCCGTCCCAGTGCCAATTTGTCTTTCTGATGCACTTTATCTCAATTCTTAATGGAGATTAACCTCACTGTTTATCCCACCCGAGTTTTCTCACTAGACACAGTATTCTATCTATCTATCTATCTATCTATCTATCCATCCACCTATCCATCCATCTATCCATCCATCCATCCATCCATCCATCCATCCATCCATCCATCCATCCTATCCATCCATCCATCCATCCATCTATCTATCTATCTATCTCCCCCATGGGTTTTACAATTTTTACCCTTTGCATCTGGCCTAGCTCACCCTTATTTAATTCTTCTATCATTTCATACTTTGTTTTATTATGTCATTGTCACTATTTTATTGTATTACTAGCTGTACCCGGCCAGGCGTTGCTGTAGCCCTTAGAAAACAGAGGATTTGCAGATATGAAGCAATCTGGGCCAGGGAACTCCTCCCACCAAAGATTTCCTGCTGGCTAGTAGAAGCCAGGCTTTTCAGTTATATTAATGCTGGCCAAAACACTCAAAAAAAGCCTCTTTGAAACAGAGGCTGGGTGGCCATCTGTTGAGGGTGCTTTGAATGTGATTTTCCTGCTTCTTCACAGAATGGGGTTGGCCTGGATGGCCCACCAGGTGTCTCCCAACTCTAGGACTCTGATTCTATATTCTTCTCTTCCTATAACCAGTTTCCACTTTTCTTTCTTTGTTCCTTCCCTTCCTCTTCCCTTCCTTTCCTTCCTTCCTTCCTTCCTTCCTTCCCTGCCTCTTCCCTTCCTTTCCTCTCCCATCCCTGCCTCCTTTCCCTTCCTTCCTCTTTCTTTCCTTCTACCTTTCCTTCCATTCATAATCTTCTCTTCACCAATCCTTTTCTTCCTTTCTTCTCTCCTTTCCCTTTCTTTCCCCTCCTTCCTCCGGGACAGTTTGTAAGGGTGTTTTTGGGTGTGTGTGAAAGGGGGGATGTGGAGCCCAAGTGGGAGAGTTTCTGGCCTTCCCATGGTTCACATCCTCCCTTCACCCAACTGGGGAATGGAGGGGTGGGGGGCGGTGTGCACATGCTCCTGCAGCCAGGCTTGCCTTGCAATCCTCTGGTCTTGCGGGAAGACTTGCCTGGTAGCCACGTGGGCCTCATGGAGCTGCTGCGGTGGCTCCAGCTGCTGCCGGGGCTTGCCTCGCCAAGCCCCCACCCCTCCGTTGGGCCAGGCCTTCTCCTTCCTTCCCTCTTTCCTTTCCTCAATCCCTCCCCTCCCCAAAAGAAAAAGGACTCTGTCTTCCTGCATGGAAAGGGACTCCATGGTGAGGTTTCTCTTCCTTCACAACGGTTGGTGCTTCATTCTTCTCGAGCAATGGAGAGAGGGGCTTTTGCGCTTGCTCTGTAAGGCATTTTTCTTTTTGGGGAGTTTTAAGTTATTTCCCATTCATTTTTAATGATTTTTTTGTTTGAAAGACATAGATCTGATTAGAATGTGTTTTGCTGCCAAATTTGGTGTCAATTCGTCCAGTGGTTTTTGAGTTCTGTTAATCCCACAAACGAACATTACATTTTTATTTATATAGATTATGCTATTGTTAAGTATTTTTATTCGATGTTATTGTCTGTTTTGTATGCATTTTATTTTGCCTTATTGTAAGTGCTTTGGCTTGGCCTTATGTTAGCCGCCCCGAGTCTCTTCAGAAGATGGTGGCGGGGTATAAATTTATTATTATTAATTATTATTATTATTATTATTATTATTATTATTATTGAGTGGTAGACGCTTTCTTCTCTTCACTTTGCCTCTATACTCGTAGGCTGCGAAGCGGTTCTCTCTCATATTCCACTGTTCGTCTCTCCCTCAAAGGGAGCGACTGCGTCGCCTGTGTGGCTGTGCGGAGTGCGTGGCTGCTAGTCTGGTGTGGTACAGTGCGAGGTTGTAGATATTGGTTCTGCCAGGGGTGAGACCAACTGGGGGGGCGACTATGAGCAGTCCCACAGCTGCGGCACGCGACGGCTGTGGATGAGAAATAGGCGGGGATGTGGTACTGAGATGCAAGGAGGGCCGGCAGGTGACGCTGGGTAGTATCGTGATCATGAGTGCACATAGGGCCGTCTGCAGGGCGATGGTTGGGGAAGAGCCGAGTGTGGGTGAGTAGACAGTAGGTCTTTAGGCACTGAACCATTGGGACCACCTTGACTGGCTTGTGCCAGAGTCTTTGCAGTTCGATCTTTAATTCCTCATATCGTGTCAGCTATTCCAGTTGTTTCTCTTCAATCCTGCTGTCACCTGGGATTGCAACATCGACAATCATACTTTGTTTTTTAACACGATCATGAGGTCAGGAGTATTGTGTTCCAAAACTCTGTCTGTCTGAATCTGGAAGTCCCAGAGTAGCTTGACGTGTTCATTTTCTGTAACTTTTTCTGGCTTGTGATCCCACCAGTTCTTGTCGCAGGCAGGTGGTATTTGTGTCACAAGTTCCAATACCATCTGCCTGCAATGGTGTTATGCCTCTGCTTGTAGTCTGTCTGTGCGATCTCCTTGCAGCAGCTGAGGATGTGATCTATTGTTTCATCTGCTTCCTTGCAGAGTCTACACTTGGGATCTGTCGTTGACTTTTCAATTCTGGCTTTGATAGCATTTGTTCTAATGGCTTGTTCTTGTACTGCCAGAATCAGGCCCTCTGTCTTCTTTTTCAAAGTTCCCTTTGTGAGCCACTGTCATGATTTTTTTCTTTGTCAATTTGGCTCTCAATTTTCCCCATGGAGAGCCTCCTTTCGCCAGTTGTAGTTGTTATTATTAGTATTAGTATTATTATTATTATTATTAAGGCTGGATGGCCATCTGTTGGGGGCGCTTCGATTGTGTTATTCCTGCATGACAGATGGGGTTTGGACTGCCTTGCCCCAAGGGTCTTCCACTGAAATACATTGGTTAAAATAGTTCTTAATGTTATGTTATTTTTTTTTTTTTTTTGCACTGTGTGAATCAGTTGACACAAACACTCTTCATCCATCTGCCACTGTCCCGGCTCATGCCTGATATATATACATTATATATAATATAACACAAGAAATAAATGTAAAACCTTCTTATTCATGGAACCATGCTTATGTCCTAGGAATGCTTCACTTACCTAATTGAGCTGTCGCCATGAATCGGACAGAATCGCAGAAATCATTTATTATTCTTATGGGGCGGCGTGTGGAGAGGTCTAGCAAAAGGATATGCCCTCCCCCTGTTCCTATCCAAAGGGCCGTGTTCTTTTGCAGGCAGATGCTCTTCACTCTTCCAGGATAGGCAAGTTTTTGCTTTGATTCTTTATTCAGTTTTGGCACCTCCTCTCTAAAAAAATAAGATAGCATTTTATCCTTCCTTTACTTTCAGTTTTCAAACTTGGAAGCAGCTGATACTCGGTTTCATCTGAAAAATGGCCTTTTAAAAATGACAAATTGAACTATCCATTATGTTTTTCACAATTATTTGGAATAATATATTATTAATAATGTTCACCATGGAAGCCAAAGGTGAGAAATCATAGATGGCTGTGCTTTCCTCATCCCTGTTCCTAATGGCACAAAATGAATAATGGAGGTTGATTCCTTGGAAATAGTTCTTTGCCACATTCTTACTCCCCGCCTCCTCAAATTAAAACCAAGAAATAGCATCATATTATGCCCCTTCTTCTGATACCCTTGAATGGTAGTGGGCAACTTTGCTCCTCTAGATGTTTTTGGACTGCAAGTGCTATAATCCCCAACATTGGCTTTGAAAGATCATGAGTTCAAAATCAGACCGAGTCGGAATGAGCTTCCGACCATTGTGTAGCTCGCTGTTGATCTTTGCAGCCTGAAAGACAGTTGCATCTGTCAAGTAGGAAATTTAGATACCGCTTATGTGGGGAAGTTAATTTAACTAATTTACAGCACCATAAAAATCTCCAGCAAGCATGCAAAGAATGAGGAAGTACTCCATCAGTGTCACAAATGGACAGTGAAGCGACAGCACCCCTGGTGGCCAGAATATCCTCATGAAGCTGGAATGTTAAATGGCCTCTGTATGTCTGTCTATATATTTTGTGTGTCTATGGCATTGAATGGTTGCCATGTATATGTACATTGTAATCTGCCCTGAGTCCCCTGCGGGGTGAGAAGGACGGAATATAAATAAATAAATAAATAAATTGCTGGATAGAACTGCTAGGACTTACAAGTAAAACATACCTGGATGTTGTGGAACGCGGCACCCACACCCCACCACCCCTGTGATTTCTAGTTTCCTCAAGGACGTTAGTATACATTTTTATATATTTTTCATCTTTGTTGCTATATTGCTATTTTGATTTAGAAGAATGCCAGCAGGCGACTCACAACAGTTCCCAATCCCCTTGGATATTGTTTCAACCCTTAATAAAATGTATCTATATTTGATTTCTTTATGCCTATTTATATCCTTGCCTCTCTGTCTATTCTATATAAAGTAAATGAAATGTATCCTGACAAGCACAGGAGAGCGTCACCTCTGCCTGATTTGGTAGGGGGCTACGTGAGCACAGGAATGTCCAGCTGTGCTCGGGGGGAATTTTCAGTCCTGACAGATTGTCCCACCGTTGTGCATGGACAATAAGGATGTACACTTTCCTTACACTGATAAGAGATAAATCCCAGCGTGTGTACAGATCATTAGTCTCTTGGGGCTAAGAGATGGCCAACCCTAAAGGTAAGAACTCACAATATGCATCCAAGTCTGAATCCTGATGGTGGAGATCACCACCCTTTGTTTCAGGGACCCTGGACTCTTAACTTTATCAACCAAAGTTGGTCTATTATGCTAGTCAGAAGCTCCCTAAGCTCTCCAAATATGGTCATAGGAACTTCCAGGGGCTGTCCCCCCCCCCCAGAAGGGTATCCCCCACAGCTGATTAGGCTGTCAGAAACCAACCACGGACATCCCCTTCAGCTGGGAGAGAATTCCTGCCTGGAACCAGTGACATCAACAGAGCTCAGCCAATCAGAGAGTGGGCCCAGGACAGCCCCTTCTCTCAGCCAATTTGGGGAGGGAATGGGAAGCTTGAATGGAAACTGAACTGCTTAAAATGCTGTATGTATTCATGTTTATGCTTGTACATTTTGGCATCAGCCATATATGCATTATTTCTGACCAGATTCAATAAACCTCTGTTGCTTGTCTTCACTTGGTGAGCGTGTTCTGTGATATGAAACATTGGATTGTTAGCATAATGCTTGCCAGGCATAGACCCTTTGTATCCGCGGTCCTTGTCTAAATTTGATCTCATATTAGGCCACAGCTACTCTGCTCTGCCTTTAGGCAGCCTATGATAGAAAATGAGAACAAGGCAACATCTACCCATCAAGTTATATTAGTGGGCTTCTATTACTACACATTAAAGAGTAAGGAAGGGGACTATCCTTCAACATGTTCTAAGTCAACTTCCATAGATGCATAGAAGGAAGTGTCTAAGAATGAACAAGGGACGACGAACCTGGACTACGCTTGGATGATGAGAAGATTGGGTACGGTTGTTTTTTGTAATAATTGTGCATTGTAACTGCTTATTGGTAATTTATGGATAATGTGTTAAGTCAATTGTTATATGTTGTATGGAACCACTGCTGTTTCTACTGTTTTTACTGTTTGTGAACCACCGTGAGTCGCCTTCGGGCTTGAGATACAGCGGTATATAAGCAAAGTAAATAAATAAATAAGAATAGATCTTTATAGATAGTCCATGCGTGTGTAAAATGCAAAACTTGTATTGGAATGAGGTGATAGGTTCAGTATTAATAGTGGACAAAGACAGGAGGGAAGATTGAAAAGAGAAAAAGCAGAATTGGGTTAGATCCACAAACCCCAGTCCATTGACCGTGGGTTTGGCAGAGGCACTGGTTTCCTGGAACACTACACTAATGATAACGCTAGTTAACACCCAAGCTACATGAGAGCTGTTTTGATTTGTTTATCACATAGTTTTCTTGGTTCTAAGCCAACATCACATTGTTACATTCCAATAACTCTTGCTGCCATTCAAATGGCTATCCATTCATCTTGCCTCAAGCAACATCGTTCCTCCTTTCTTTATCATCCAACGAGCATGAAGAATAGTTAATACTGAATTTGTTACCTCACCACCATACCCACAAGTTTTGCATTTTTATGGCTATTTGGACAAAGCGTTTGCTATAAAGGTCTGTTCCTAGGCATTTCGCACACCTTAGGAAGCAGATTTAATCTAAGAAAGTTTATGCTGCCAACTTCATCTTCTTAGTTAGTCTCTAAGGTGCTACAAGATCCCGTCGCATAAAGAGTTGAGCTGTTTCATTGCACTTTTGGGACTTACTTGTTCTGTATAAAATCACTACCTAATAGGAAAAATAGTTATTTGATAATTTGAGACCAGACTGTTATTATAATAATAAGTATGATTATGTAACATGTCTCTAACACTTCTGAAAATCCAATAAATGGAAAGACGGCTAATACTCACTTTAGAAAATGAACACAGTCAATTAGTTCACAAAGTTTCTCAGTCTTTTTATCCCAAATTTCAACAAAGTAGCTGTTCTTCTTTGCCAAGTAGATGGATTTATCGACTGCTATTGAAATAATATTGGCATCACTGTACGCTTTGTGGCATAATCTGAGGTGTGAGATAAAAAAAAATCAGAGCAATATATTTCGACTTAGTGTAGACCTTATCATGAAAGCCAAATGAAGACCTTTGAAAAATCTTAATGCACTCTTGTTAAAGGCCAACATTGAAAGTATAAAATGTACAGAAGTTTTATAAATGCAGTGCTTCTTATAGAAGTTACTCATCTCCCATAAAACCCTATTTTTATGGGTTGGAGACCATTAACATTACCTGTTGCATCTTGCTTAGGAAATAAAAAAAAACGATGATACAAATTAACAGGTGTGTCTTACATCGGCTGTGTCTAGATGTTAACAATAAACTATTATTCATTGTGATGGGAATGAACCTAAGTGAGCCTTTTGTGCATGCACTGTCTTCTTCCCTCTGTTGTGATATGACCCGATTGCAACCGATATTCATCTTTAAGCACTAGTAATTATTATTTATTTATTTATTTATTTATTCACTTGTATACCGCTAATATCTCAGCCTAGGTCGGCGACTCATTGCGGTTTACAACAATAAAAACAGTCTCCAATTTAAAACATACACACATACAATACAAATTATTGGGCCACCAATAATAATCCCATGCATCTCGAGTTAAAATCATGATCCAGAATTCGTTGTCCAAAATTACCTGTCCTTAGTCACCAAAATTCGATTGCAGCGGATTAGCCGAATGCTTGTTTAAACAACCATGTTTTCAATCTCTTCCGAAACACCATCAGCGAAGAGGCTGATCGTACCTCTATAGGGAGGGTGTTCCAAAGCCGAGGGGCCACCACAGAAAAGGCCCTGTCTCTCGTTCCCGCCAGCCGCACTTGGGAAGCCAGCGGGATAGAGAGCAGGGACTCTCCAGAAGATCTTAGGGTCCTGGTGGGCTGATAGGCTGAGATACGTTCGGATAGATAAGTTGGGCCAGAACCGTTTAGGGCTTTAAAGGCCAACGCCAGCACTTTGAATTGAGCCCGGTAGCATATCGGCAGCCAGTGGAGCTGGTGCAGCAGAGGAGTTGTGTGCTCCCTGCGCCCCGCTCCTGTTAGTATCATGGCTGCCACCCGTTGGACTAATTGGAGCTTCCGGACTGTCTTCAAAGGCAACCCCACGTAGAGAGCGTTGCAGTAGTCAAGGCGGGATGTAACCAAAGCGTGGACACTGTGGCCAGATCAGACTTCCCAAGGTACGGGCGCAACTGGCGCACAAGTTTTAATTGTGCGAAAGCTCTCCCGGCCACTGCCGAGACCTGGGGTTCCAGACTCAGCGACGAGTCCAGGATCACTCCCAAGCTGCGAACCTGCATCTTCAGGGGAAGTGTAACCCTGTCTAACACACGCTGTAACTCTATGCCCTGTTTGGCCTTACGACTGACCAGGAGTACCTCTGTCTTGTCATGATTCAATTTCAATTTGTTCGCCCCCATCCAGACCGTCACAGCGGCCAAGCACCGGTTCAGGACCTGGAACAGCCTCCTTAGTAGTAGGTGGAAAGGAGTGACAGAGTTGGACATCATCTGCGTACAGATGACATCGTACCCCGAAACTCCGGATGATCTCTCCCAGCGGCTTCATGTAGATGTTAAACAACATGGGAGACAATATTGAGCCCTGAGGAACTCCACAAGACAATGGTTGTGGGGTTGAACAGGTGTCTCCCAATAACACCTTCTGAAACCGACCCCCGAGGAAGGACTGGCGCCACTGCAAAGCAGTACCCCCGAGGCCCATTCCCGTGTAGGCGTCCCAGAAGGATACCGTGGTCGACGGTATCGAAGGCCGCTGAGAGGTCGAGCAGCGCCAACAGGGACACACTCCCCCTGTCGAGCTCCCGACGTAGATCATCCACTAAGGTGACCAAGGCTGTCTCGGTACCATGCCCCGGCCTAAAGCCAGACTGTGCCGGATCCAGATAATCCGTGTCTACCAAGAATGCCTGGAGTTGTGAGGCCACCACACGTTCCATGACTTTGCCCAAAAAGGGGAGATTGGAAACAGGCCGATAGTTGACGAATTGAGTGGGGTCCAGTGATGGTTTTTTCAACAGCGGTTTTATCACAGCTTGCTTTAAGCTGGCTGGAATTTTGCCTTCCCGAAGGGAGGCATTAACCACCACCTTCACCCACTCGGCCAATCCCCCTCTGGCCTCCTTCAGAAGCCAGGATGGGCAGGGGTCTAGGATGCATGTGGTAGCTCTCATTCCTCCAAGCACCTTGTCCACATCCTCGGATTGAACCAATTGAAATGAATCCATCAAAACCGGACAAGCAGATGCTCGTGTTACATCCTCAGATACTGCCGTTAATATGGTATCCAGTCCAGAGCGGATCAAAGCGACTTTGTCTGCGAAGAACCGAGCAAAAGCTTCGCAGCGAGCTGCCGAGTCATCAGGGCACCCATCCTGAGTGGCGGGTTTTAATAGGCCTCTGACAACTCGGAACAGTTCAGCCGGACGGTTCTTTGCAGACGCAATAGTGGCCGCAAAGAAAGTCTTCTTTGCGGCTTTTATTGCCGCGGCATATGCCCTTAAGAAGGACACAAACCGTGTTCGATTTGGCTCGCTCGGATCCGAATGCCACACGCTCTCTAGTTCCCTCTTCTTTCGCTTCAACGCTGCCAGCTCCTCAGTAAACCAAGGAGCTGGTTTAGCTCGGCTACTTGAGAGGGGACGTTCTGGAGCGATCGTGTCTATTGCCCTAGTCATCTCCCCATTCCAGAGAGCGACCAGAGCATCAACAGGATCACCAACCGCGGTGGCGGGAAATTCCCCAAGAGCCGTCAGGAATCCATCCGGATCCATAAGCCTCCTGGGGCGGACCAATTTAATGGGTCCTCCACCTCTGCGGAGGTTAGGGGGTGCAGTGAGTCTAAAGCTGACCAGGTGGTGGTCGGTCCATGGCAACGGAGAGATGGATAACTCCTCAACACCGCCACCTTCCTCCCATCCCTGGCAGAAAACCAAGTCCAATGTATGTCCAGCACTGTGGGTGGGGCCAGATACCTGTTGGGACAGCCCCATGGTTGCCATGGTAGACATGAAGTCCTGAGCCGCTCCCGATAGGGCGCCTCGGCATGGACATTGAAGTCCCCCAGCACAAGCAGCCGTTGGGACTCCAACGCCAGGTCCGAGACCACCCCCGCTAGCTCAGGCAGGGAGACTGTAGTGCAGCGAGGTGGACGGTACACTAACAGAATCCCTAATCTGTTACATATGTACAATGTAATATAACAAGAATCCAAACTGGGAATTTATCAACATTATGAATATGGACAAACTGACATTTCCGATTACAAAGACACAGAATAAATGTATGAAGACGAAAAACTGGACACCACTGAAGACTTGGATAAAAGATGATAATTTATTTATTTATTTATTTATTTACTGTTCTTGTATACCGCCGTTTCTCAGCCATCCATGGCGACTCAACGCGGTTTACATCAATACAGTGAACAACAATATACAATTTAAAAGTGAAGTTACTGATCTAAAAAAGGAAAAGGAGATACAAAACTTATACAAACAGAACCACCACTATGAGAAGGAAGAGTAAAAGCATAAAGTTCAAGAAACCAAGAATAAAAACTTATATACAGGGTGAGGCAGCATAACTTCCTTTGTTCAAAACTTAATAAAACCCATTGTATGAATCAAATTTTTTTTTATAATGTAGGCGCATACCTAAAGTTTTGTTTCACATAGTTTTGAAGATCAAATTAGGTAGGTGACGTCCCCCATTCTCCATACACTGAGTAAACCGATTTCTGGCATTTGTCATGACTCTTGCCAGCATAGCAGGCGTTATGTTGGCAATTTCTTCCTGGATGTTGGTCTTCAAATCTTGTAGGGTCCTTGGACGGTTCACATAAACACGGGATTTCAAAAAACTCCATAGAAAAAAATCACAAGGGGCTAAATCTGGAGAGCAGGCCGGCCACTCCAAATCCACTCTAAAAATAGGCCTCAACGGCAAAAGCACGCTCCTCACTGTTCCAACGCATGATGGCGACTGAACTGTTTCAGGACAAAACTTTATACTCCTGCCTCTCGAACGAGACCACTAGCGCTCCACTACGTCTTCAACCGACTGAATGGTGCGCATTTTAAAAAAAGGAAGTTATGCTGCCTCACTCTGTAGATAATCCACTATGAAAAGAAATGGAAGAAACTACCCACCTCATTATTCCCTTTTTTCCTACCCCTCCCCCTTTATTCTCAAATTTTACCCCCTCCCCCTTACCTCTTTTCCTATCCCATCTCCATTTACCTGGATTTTACTCTGGAGTTTTCCACCTTTTTTAAAAATCATTTTTATTTTATTTTATTTTATTTTACTTTTTTATTTTTATCTTTTTCCCCCCCCCCCATGTATGTTGTAGAAAAATCCCTTAATAAAAATTTAAAATAATAATAACAGAGCATTGGATTTAGTATACATTTTCAGTTACAGCACCCTAGTTTTATTTATTTATTTATTTATTTATTTATTTACTTTGCTTATATACCGCTGTTCTCAGCCCGAAGGCGACTCACAGCGGTTAACAAACAGTAAAAACAGCAGTAATTCGATGCAACATACAACAATTAACTTAACACATTATCCACTAATAACAATAAGCAATTACAATACACAATTATTACAATAACCATATCCAATCGTCTCATCATCCAAGCGTAGTCCAGGTTCGTTGTCCATTGTTCCATTCCTATGTTCAATTACCAATATTGCACTAGATTACTCGAACGCCTGCACAAACATCCAGGTCTTCAACTTTCTTCGGAATGCTATGAGAGATGGCGCCAGCCTAATGTCTGTAGGAAGGGCGTCCACAGCCGAGGAGCCACCACCGAGAAGGCCCGATCTCTCGTCCCCGCCAAACGTGCTTGAGAAGCCGGCGGGATCGAGAGCAGGGCCTCCCCGGAAGATCGCAAAGTCCTGGTGGGTTCATAGGCAGAGATGCGGTCGGATAGGTAGCTTGGGCCGGAACCGTTTAGGGCTTTAAAGGCCAACGCCAGCACTTTGAATTGAGCCCGGTAGCAATCGGTAGCCAGTGGAGTTGGCGCAACAGGGGGGTGTATGCTCCCTGCGCTCCGCTCCTGTTAGAATCATGGCTGCCGAGCGTTGGACTAGTTGAAGCTTCCGAGCCGTCTTCAAAGGCAACCCCACGTAGAGAGCGTTGCAGTAGTCTAGGTGGGATGTAACCAGAGCGTGGACTACCGTGGCCAAGTCAGACTTCCCAAGGTACGGGCGCAGCTGGTGCACAAGTTTTAACTGTGCAAATGCTCCCCTGGTCACCGCTGAAACCTGGGGTTCCAGGCTCAGCGATGAGTCCAGGATCACACCCAAGCTGCGAACCTGCGTCTTCAGGGGGAGTGCGACCCCATCCAACACAGGCTGTAACCCTATACCCTGTTCAGCCTTACGACTAACCAGGAGTACCTCTGTCTTGTCTGGATTCAATTTCAATTTGTTCGCCCTCATCCAGACCGTCACAGCGGCCAAGCACCGGTTCAGGACCTCGACAGCCTCCTTAGTAGCAGGTGGAAAGGAGTGACAGAGTTGGACATCATCTGCGTACAGATGACATCGCACTCCGAAACTCCGGATGATCTCCCCAGCGGCTTCATGTAGATGTTAAACAACATGGGAGACAGTATTGAGCCCTGAGGAACCCCACAAGACAAAGGTTGTGGGGTTGAACAGGTGTCTCCCAGAACACCTTCTGAGATCGACCCTCCAGGAATGACCAGAGCCACTGCAAAACAGTACCTCCAAGACCCATCCCCGAGAGGCGTCCCAGAAGGATACCGTGGTCGACGGTATCCTATTTTTGGATAGGTATCCTATCCATATTTAATCTGAGGTTGGAAGCATCACTTTTAGTGCAACTGCCAGAATCCTCAAGCTAGTCCAAAAAGCTGTTGTCCTAAAAGAACACTTGAACACATCAGCAAAAAGACCTCTGTTATTTGTTTGTTGAACTGCTGTAAAATTGTTCAGATACGGTAAGATGGAGGCTACTGACCGCCAACAATTTTGGTGTGCTTTTTGGTGTGCTTTTTCTGCTGCTGTGTATTAATGTTTAAGTATGAAGAAATGTAATTCAGACCTGGAACAGTCATGCATGGGCATTAAAACTTTGAGAAGTTAGCCTTTGTACACTACATGAGTGACACAATTTTAATGTTGATTCCTATTGAGATGTTATCATAATAAAATGAAGTCATAGCAAAAGCAGATGTCTATTTCTGAACACATGGAAATATATGACTGAATTTAGATATGTATTTCAAAATCTGCACAGCCAGGCCTGGCAAGTCACAAAATAAGGCTTGTTGGATTTGCAGTCCTGCGCGACTTCAGACAAGAGCTGACATGAGAATTACGCTAGATCTTATTCTAAATTTCATGATAATAATAAAACTTTATTTATATACCGCTCCATCTCCCCGAGGGGACTCAGAGCAGTTCCCAGGTAACATCACAAAACATAAAATAAGAAACAACATAACCATAAGATTAACAAAACAAAATATAAGCATAAAAATTGTCGCATAACACACGTATATTAAAAGTAATCCTGCCTGTTCAAGGCAATTTAAAAATTTAATAGGCCGGGCCAAGATTTATGCAAGCCCAAAAATTCTAGGGGGGCTGGGAATTAAGTGCAATGCTATGGCAGGCAACAATAATATTAGGTACGGGTCTGTGGCTGTTCATTCTGGGGCCAATTAGAGGAAATGATCTGGGTAACTGGTAGGAAGAATAAGGTTGTATTCGACAATGTGTAGGGCTGAGTTAGAACTGGTCATTTTCAAAGGCATGTTGAAAGCACCAGGTCTTCAAGTTCTTACGAAAGATGATGATGATGCTACTACACTATGTAAAACAAAGAAAAAAAATATTTTCCTGTGTTATTTCCTGTGCAGTCCTTACTTTGAAAATAGTAGTTATACTCCAGAAATGTTGTTTTACTGGCTGCCACAAACTATGTTGAATTGGTTGAGATTCTACGAGATAGTCATTGAAAAGCTACTACAAAGTGTGCTGCAGGATGTCCCACAAAAATAAAGATTTTGCAGTTTAATAAACCTTTTCCATGTTTTTATGATAGAGCCAATTAGGAAATGACATTTCTAACTCAGGAACAAAAATCATGCTACAGGACTGTTCAGAACAGCTGCTTAGAGTGACCTTAATTAATTAATTAATTAATTAATTCTATTTCTATACTGTCCCTCTCAGCCTGCAGGCAACTCAGAGCAGTTTACAATTGGTGCCAAGACCATAAAATACAATTTCACTACAATAAAAACAATCAGATAATAAAACCATAACAATCTGGTGCCTTAATCTGGTGCCAGCATCCCGTGTTGGTGCAACATCAGTCCCTCTGTGACGCTACTGGGCAATACTTCTGGGAGATGATGTCTAAAGCATCTAGGAGTCCAACAATTGAGAACCACATACCTAAGCATATCACAAAGTTTTAATAATAATAATAATAATAATAATAATAATAATAATAATAATGTTGATGTTGCAATTCCAGGTGACAGCAGGATTGAAGAGAAACAACAGCAAGCTTGTTTTCTGTTGCTTTGGAGACTAGGATGAGAAATAATGGCTTCAAACTACAAGAAAGGAGATTCCATCTGAACATTAGGAAGAACTTCCTGACTATGAGAGCCGTTCAGCAGTGGAAATCTCTGCCCTGGAGTGTGGTGGAGGTTCCTTCTTTGGAAGCTTTTAAACAGAGGCTGGATGGCCATCTGTCAGGGGTGCTTTGAATACAATATTCCTGCTTCTTGGCAGGGAGTTGGACTGGATGGCCCATGAGGTCTCTTCCAACTCTATGATTCTTTGATTCTAACTGGAAAAGCAGACATGATACAAGGATTTAAAGTTGGAACTGCAAAGACTCTGGCATAAACCAGTAAAGGTGGTCCCATTGGTGATCGGCACACTGGGTGCAGTGCCTAAAGACCTTGGGTTACACTTAAACACAATTGTGCTGACAAAATTACCATCTGTCAGCTGCAGAAGGCCACCCTACTGGGATCTGCACACATTATTTGCCGATACATCACATAACCCTAGACACTTGGGAAATGTCCAATGTGTGATCCAATACAACAACCAGCATAGCAAACTTGTTTGCTGTGTACTAATCTTGTTGTGTTTCAAATAATAATAATAATAATAATAATAATAATAATAACAACAACAATAATAATAATAATAAAATATGGGCAGTTCCTTGAGAAGATTGAAGGAAAAGTTGATGAGGAGAAGACCTGGTTATGGCTCATGAATGGAACCATGAAGAAGAAGACAGAAGGCCTGATTCTTGCAGCCCAGGAGCAAGCCATCAGAACCAATGCAATTAAGGCCAGGATTGAAAAATCAACGGATGACCTAAAATGCAGACTGTGCAAGGAAGCTGATGAAACCATGGACCATCTCCTCAGCTGTTGCAAGAAAATCGCACAGACGGACTACAAACAAAGACACAACTCTGTGGTCCAGATGATTCACTGGAACTTATGTCACAAGTACCACCTGCCAGCAGTAAAGAATTGGTGGGATCATAAATCCGCAAAGGTCGTGGAAAATGAACATGCAAAAATACTGTGGGACTTTCAAATCCAGACTGACAAAGTTTTGGAACACAATACACCAGACATCACTAATGTGGAAAAGAAAAAAGTCTGGATTAATGATGTCGCCATACCGGATGACAGTTGCATTGAGGAAAAACAACAGAAAAAACTCAGCCGGTATCAGGACCTCAAAATCGAACTGCAAAGGCTCCGGCATAAACCAGTACAGGTGGTCCCAGTGGTCATCGGCACACTGGGTGCCGTGCCAAAAGATCTCAGCCAACATTTGGAAACAATAAACATCGACAAAATCACGATCTGTCAACTGCAAAAGGCCACCTTACTTGGATCTGCGCGCATCATTCGAAAATACATCACACGGTCCTAGACCCTTGGGAAGTGTTTGACTTGTGATTTTGTGATACGAAATCCAGCATATAGATCTCGTTTGTTGTGACATACTGTGCTTTTGTGTCAATACTAATAAACAGGAAAGTTCTGTCAAGTAAGTAGGTTAAAAAAAACACCTAGCATGGCAATACGCAAATAAATTGAAATACATAAATACAGTATGGAAATGTTATATAGGCTATTTAAACATGACACTAGAACCTCAATCAAAAGAATACAAGCTACTTAGGATTTGTTCAAAAGTTTTGAACAGAATCAAACAATATTTTACAAAGGGTAAAGCAATTTTTTATGATTTTCCTATCTACAGACCTACGTAGAGAGCAATAATTTAAAATAAGAGCAAGTCACTTAAAAATAAGCAGCATATTTTAAAGCAAGAAAAGAAGAGAAATATGTGAAATGAAAACAAACTCACAGTTGGCTTGTCTTTGTCTCAATGAGCCTTTGGACACACAGATCACTGGACAATGATACAATCTTCGTCCCACAGCCTCCCCAAATTATATTCTTTTCAGAAGAATAATTCGATTCAGTTAAACACATAAAAGGGGTACTGATGTTTCCAACGGGTAAAATCTTCAAGGGGGCAGCACCTTTGCACTGAAAATATAATGTACACAACAGTGAGGAATATTTTATTTATTTAGTTATTTATATAAAGAAATATGTAATGTTCATTTGTGGGATTAACAGAACTCAAGAACCACTGGACAAACTGACACCAAATTTGGACACAAGACACCTAACAACTCAATGTATGTCCTTCACTCAAAAAAATTGATTTTGTCATTTGGGAGTTGTAGTTGCTGAGATTTATAGTTCATCTACAAACGAAGAGCATTCTGAAACCCACCAATGATGGAATTGAACATCACAAAACATACAATGTAAAAAACAACATAACTATAAGATTAACAAAACAAAATATAAGCATAAATATTGTTGCCATAACACACTTATATTAAAAGTAATCCTGCCTGTTCAAGGCAATTAAAAAATTTAAAAGGCCGGGCCAAGATTTCTGTAAGCCCAAAAAATTCTAGGGGGCCCGGGAATTAAGTGCAATGCTATGGCAGGCAACAATAATGTTAGATAAGGGTCTGTGGCTGTTCATTCCGGGGCTGATTAGAGGAAAGAATCTGGATAATTAGTAAGAAGAATAAGGCTATATTCGACAATGTGTAGGGCTGAGTTAGAACTGGTCATTTTCAAAGGCTTGTTGAAACCACCAGGTCTTCAAGTTCTTTTGAAAGGAGGGGAGGGATGGGGCCTGTCTTATTTCCCTTGGAAGGGTGTTTCAGAGGTGGAGGGCCACCACTGAGAAGGCCCTCTCTCTCGTCCCCACCAACCGCGCTTGAGATGGTAGTGGGACCGAGAGGAGGGCCTCCCTGGAAGATCTTAGAGCTCGTGCCAGTTCATAGAAGGAGATGCGATCGTGGAAATATGCGGGGCCCAAACTGTTTAATATATATTAAGCATTTAAAAAACATTACATTCAATATTAAAACCACGCCATCCATTCTATATAAATACCTTTACTGCTCTGTCTTCAAAAACCGCTAGCTGTCCATCCGCAGTACCCACTAAAAAGAAATTCTTCTGCTTGCTGAAATGAAACAGGAACTGTTTAATTGTATTGCTAAAACAAGCCTATTGCACATTATGCTAAAAGAGAGCTTTCAAAAGGCACAACGGAATGTTTACATTGGCTTCACCACTTTTTATCCATTCTATATAAACCACCCATTTATCTTTAATTTCTCTTATTTTACCCTTTTGCATATCATCCTGAATTAAACATGCTATAATGTCAGATGGAACCTGATTGTAAAGGTAATGATTCCAGTTTTCCATTGTCCGTTTTCTTTCATCTTTCCACGCCCATGCTAACACTGCCTGTCCAGCTAAAATCATGGTTTTAAACTATTCTTGTTCTTTAATGGTAATCTTGTTGCCTAACACTCCCATTAGCCTCAAATCTATATTCACTTGAAGTGATATTTCGAATAGTTTTTTTTCATTTTCTTCACTATTTTTCCCCAAAAGGCTGTTGAACATTCACACTACATATAGGCATAGCATCCTTTATTTAATCCGTAGTGCCAACAAACTGGGTTTATCACTGTTACCATATATGAAAGTTGAGGCTAGGGTCCTAAGCCAATTCAATATGGATTTCCTTTCCAGTTCTTTGTATATATCCGTTATAATTTTCTTGATTTTTCTTGATCCCCTTCATTAATCTTTCTATTATTTGACTTCTGAGTGGGGCTTCTTTCTGCCATTTAGTTTGTATTATTCTTATATATTCATCACCTTTAATCATCAATTTATATGTTGACCCTGCCAATCTTTTCTCTGATTCCTGTATTTTCCTAAATATTTCCTGCATCTTATCTTCTTTCTTTATTTTTTCACCATATTTCCCTTGTTCAAGCTTATTGCATAAGCCTAGTAATTTTAACCAATTTCTATTTCCAACCTTTTCTACTATCTTGCCTAAGGGAATTAACTGATCATTTAAATCCAATTCAGCCGATTCCCACGGCTGGACTTGGCTTCCTGACACAAACATATCTTTAATTTTACCATTCATTTTCTTCCTGCAATCAGAATCAAACTCCTTCTCATATATCTAGATGTAGGCTTTACATACTTTTGCTTTGCCAAAGAGTTGCAATAAAGACATGTCACAGAGTCGGACATCTTCTGAAGTTGGTGCCTGCGCTTTTCCTCTTGGGTGTGAAAGGCCCACAGGGAACCAGACTGTGTTCCTGCTACTACCCAGTTTTCCTTCTCTGTAACAAGAGTAACCAAGACCAAACACAATATTCGAGTGTCTGCAATGTCCTGGAAAACAAAACAAGAAAAAAATAAAGTATTTGGCCACAATTCTGTAAAACTAGGCATGTTGATCTTTCAAAGACTGTATTGGTTTTTACCACTTCTGATCCTGCTAATTGGAATTTCCGAATGCTTCAACACCATTTGGATACAGAACACACATGGGATGCATCTACACTGCAAGAATGAATGTAGTTTGCCATCACTTTTAACTGCCATCGCTCACATTTTGGGGGAGGGGGTGATTTTTTTTCAGGGTTGGAGGACTGGGGAATATAGCCTGCAAAGTCTGGAGGAAGATAAATGGAGCTCAGACCCCCTGAAATTGCTGATCCCTACTCTACAGGCTGATTGTGTATCAAACATAATCTCTCCCTCAGACAATAACTTATTCAAACAAAAATTGGTTTTGTTGAAGGCTTTCATGGCCGGATTCACTTTATTATTATTTTATGTCAAAAGCATTGCATAAATTAGTACAAAACTGATAAAATAGAAGGAGCACAAGCGGCTAAATATCTTTTGACCAAACATGGGCAACAACAACAGCATTGTCTGTAGCCTCCAACAATTCCTCCTCTGTACATGAGGCAGGGCACAATGGACAAGCATACAAATGCAGAGTTGTCTGTTCTGTTCCACAGTCACACAAGGTGTGGGATTCTTTTAGGTAGTGCCATTTTGCCAGGTTGTCTTTTGATCAACCCACTCCGCTTCTGAGTCTATTCAGGGACTTCCAAGTTGCCCATTCTTGGTTTGTCCCTGGAGGAAGACCCTCGTGGGGGGCCATCCAGTTGGGATTTCCTGATTTAGCTGCCCAGAGGGATACCCTTGCTGTTGCTGGAGGGACGCAAAGAGGAGCGGTAGTGGGAGACATGGAAAGAGCCTCCTCGAAGACTGAGTAAATATAGTTGGGCGTCCCCCGGGCAACGTTTTTCGTAAACGGCTAATCTTTCCAAATCCAGAAGCATTGCCGGATTCACTGGGTTGCTGTGAGTGTGTCGAACTGTATGGCCATGTTCCAGTAGCATTTATTTATTTATTTATTTACAGTATTTATATTCCGCCCTTCTTACCCCACAGGGGACTCAGGGCGGATTACAATGTACATATACATAGCAAACATTCAATGTCATAGACACACAACATATACAGACAGACACTCAGAGGCTATTTAACATTCCAGCTTCTGGCCACCAGGGGAGCTGTCACTTCACCGTCCATTTGTGGCACTGATGAAGTACTTCCTCATTCTTTGCATGAGGAGATTTTCCTGGAGATTTTTATGGCCTCATAAATCAGTTAAATTAGCTTCCCCACATAAGTGGTACCTAAATTTCCTACTTGACAAATGCAACTGTCTTTCGGGCTGCAAAGGTAGACAACAAGCTACACAATTTTAGTCGGAAGCTCACTCCGACCCAGGCTGGCTTCGAACTCATGACCTTTCAGTCAGTAGTGATCTTAATGCAGCTGACTCCCAGCCAGCTGCGCCACAGTCCCGGTGCATTATCTCCTAATGTTTTGCCTGCATCTGAGGCTGGCATCTTCAGAGGTTGTGTTGATAGTGAGGCAAGTGGAATTAAAAATCCGCGTCTGTTTAAAGGAAGTGTAAATGTTGTAATTAGTAACCTTGAATTAGCATTTGAGCAGCCATCGTTTGCAAAGTCAATCACTGAGGGTATCTGCATAGAGGTATCCTGGTCTTTGTGGCCAGAAGGCATCTTATGTTTTGGAAGCGTTGACTGGTCCTTGACTGCTTATTGTCTGGAGTTCTCCTGTTTCTGTGTGGAAACAGGAGAATTCCAAACAATAAGCAATCAAACCGCAAGTTACAACCTCTCAAACAGATAACAAAGGCCAAGATACCTCACTGATTGACTTTGCAAACTTCATGGCTACTCAAATGATAATTCGGGCTCGCTAACTGCTTTAACATATTCCACAGATATATACACTCCACTTGCTTCATTGCCAACAGAAACCTCTGAAGATGTCAGCCACAGATGCAGGCAAAACATTAGGAGAGAATGCTACTGGAACATGACCATACAGCCTGAAAAACACACAGCAACCAAAAAAATAGGTTTAAAAGATTTGATATCCAACACAATGGAAATGGAAATAAGATAGGCTTGAAAATCATCCTGCTGAAAATTATTTGTATCACAGTCTGGGTTCTGCTTGTTTGTTGGGAAGACTGAAATGGAAAACTCAAATTCAAAGCAGATTTCTCTATGCAACACTTGTAATCAAGCAATTCCATTGTTAAAACCAACAAAATATACAAGAAAACCCATTTCCATAAATGACTAGCTCTTTTTCCCTAGACTTTTAATAATTCATTAAAATACATATCATTTAAAAGAAGCATTCCATATTGTTATACAAATTCAACATCATTATTAGCTATTGCTCACTTCAGCATTTACCTGACAAGTATGTCCATCAGCATTCAAGTCAATAAATGAAAGTTGTGCTCCTTCTTGGTTCCCACTACCCAGCCAGATGCCCATCTTCTTGCAACTTTGATGGGTAGCAACCATGCATTCGGATGCAGAAGCACAAGGTAGTGAAATGTATCTCATTAGGCACACAAGTTCTGCAGAGTTCAGAATCTCATAAACCTTGAAAAAATGCATATAATAGTAACAATGGGTAATAGATATTTGTGAATTTCTTCATATGAAACTTTTCTAACTCTACATTAAGGGTGTGAGAATGTGCAGCTCTCCAGAACCATGTTTGGCTTCAGCTTCCATCATCCACTGGCCATGCTATCTAGGTTTGATAGAAGCCACAATCCTACATCATTTAAATAGCCAAACATCTTCCATTTACCTTCTTACAACTGAAATATACTGCCAATAAAATATAGCATTATTTTGATTAGGTTTTTTAATATTCTAAATCACTATCCAATCTATATAAATGAAAATGTAATGTTCATTTGTGGGATTAACATAATTTAAAAACGACTGGACCATATTTGGACACAAGACACCTATCAGGCCAACAAATGATCACCACTCATAAAAAACAATGAAAAACACAATGGAAGAGATGTAAAAAGCAAAAAAAAATATGAAAAAAATACATTACAACGCGTGTGCAAAATCACATATATATACACTAACACACATATATACACAAATATATACATATACACATATATACACACAAAACACATATACACAGATTGGGACACAGCAACGCATGGCAGGGGACGGCTAGTATTAAATATTAAGGGTTTTCATTTCAACAAGTGTAGAAGTTGGAAATATATTTATAAAACTACTAGCTGTACCCGCCATGCGTTGCTTTGGCCAACCTTCCCTCCTTCTTTCTCTCCTTCCTTCCCTCTTTTTCTTTTCCTTCTCTTTCTCTTCTTTCTTCCTTCTCGACCTGTTTCTTTCCTCCCTTCTTTTGCTCTTTGGTTCCATCCTTCCTTCCTTCTCTCTTTCCTTCCTTCCTTCCCTCCCTCTTTCTCTCTCTCGTTCCGTCTCTCCTTCCTTCACTCTCTTTCCTTCCTTCACTTTTTTATTTCCTTATCTCCTTCCTTCCTTCTCTACCTTCCTTCCTTTCTTTCCTTCTCTCCTTCTTTCCCATTTCTCTCCTCCCTCCCTCCCTCCTTTCTGTGTATATGTGTTTTGTGTGTGTGTATACATATGTGTGTGTCTATATATTTGCCTATGTGTGTATATATGTGTTTGTGTATATATGTGGTTTTGCGCATGCATTGTATTTTTTTTTGTTTTTGCTTTTTAAGTCTCTTTTGGTGTGTTTTCCAGTGTGTTTATGAGTGATGGTCACTCCTTGGCCTGATAGGTGTATTTTGTCCAAATTTGGTGTCAATTCACCCAATGGTTTTTGAGTTGTTAATCCCACAGACGAACATTACGTTTTTATTTATATAGATATTTTTTATCATCAAAATGGCAAAATGTGCAGTAAAACCATTACAGCGACAAAACCCAAATGGTCTCTCCAGGAATTTGCTGGGATGTTCGGAAGAATTCTATGGTGTGCTTGTAAGTCACGTAATTTAATGGTGTTTTATTATATCCACACTTAACAATAACTGTAGTCCTCCCAAATGTAAGATGTGAGGGTCTTTCTATAATGAACTGAATCTACACTGCCATATAATCCAGTATCTGATCTCAAATTATCTGCTTTGAACTGGATTATATGGCAGTGTAGATTCATATAATCCCGTTCAAAGCAGATAACCTGGGATCAGATACTGGATTACATGGCATTCTAGAGCCAGCCATAGTTTCAAGTCTAGGTTTTTGCCTCCATTATAACTAAAACGTATTCGGAAATTCTTTGCTTCAGTTTTTGCTTATTGTATTTGTTGAGCTGCTCAGATAAAAACAAATGATTAAGCTTCACTATCATTTGTTGACATTTCAAATGTTTGTCAGGTTCATGCAACATGGAAAACCGTGGCTCATTGAAATGAAGGTTCACCTTCCAGTCTTGTCCTTGGAACCATGGTGGAGGAAACAGATTGTATAAGCCTGCTGTTCACAATGATTCATCATTATTATGCTAAAGTCAAGCTAAGAACAATGTGGTTCTCCACATGTGTTTCCACTGCAACTATCAACAGCCTCAGCAGTGAATCTGTTGATGGGGCTCTTGAGACCTGCAGTTGGAAAAACTGAAGGACTGCATGATTCACCATCTTTCACTAAAGTACAGTAAAACACTGCAGGAGACCTCTTCTAATATTAGACTGATGCCCACACATTATGTAACATTAATTAGCCCAATTTAATGATATATTGCATAAATTGAAATCTCAGAAAAGGAACTTTATCTCCATAATTATGTATACATTGGTTTATAAGCACAGACCAATCTTATATAAGCTCACTTGGAAGTAATTTCCATTCACTACAACTAACTTCCAAACAAATATCCTTAAGATGAAATTAAAATGCCATCTTTTAATAATTTATTTTTGACAATGGATTACGTCACCTAAGGCCCCTTCTACACTGCCATATAAAATCCAGATTATCTGCTCTGAACTGGATTATATGGCAGTGTACACCAGCATTTCTCAACCTGCCATCAGGACCCCTAGGGGGGTGTTACAGCAAGTTGTAGCAGGACCAAGTGTGGGTGTGTGTTGGAGAAAAACCGTATGATGGATAATTAATTATGTGCAGGCTGGTAAACTGTAGTGGTCAACCAGTCACAATTTTGGACCACAAGCCCCTAATACCCCTGCACCGAGCAATTCTTATCTGAGGTCATCACCAGGAGCAGAGTGTTGTAGCCAGGTTCGTAGGAAAATATATGAAGCCATATGAATATATATATATATATATATATATATATATATATATATAAATGCTCTGTGCATAATGAGTACCTTAAAAACAAAAGAACCAATGAACGAAATCACACCAAATTTGGCAACAAAACGTCTCACAACACAAGGAGTGACCATCATTCAAAAATTATGATTTTGTCATTTGGGAGTTGTAGTTGCTGGGATTTATAGTTCACCTATAATCAAAGAGCATTCTGAACTCCACCAACGATGGATTGAACCAAACTTGGCACACAGAACTCCCCTGAACAACAGAAAACACTAGAAGGGTTTGGTGGGCATTGACCTTAAGTTTTGGAGTTGTAGTTCAACCAACATCTAGAGAGCACTGTGGACTCAAACAATGAAGGATCTGGACCAAACTCTACATGAATACTCACACAGAATCCCCATGTGGGCCACAGTAACGCGTGGCAAGGGACGGCTAATAATAATAATAATAATAATAATAATAATAATAATAATAATAATATAACTGTATGGGTTTTTATAATACAGTTCTGGAGAGCTTTTTCTCTGAGATCCAAGGCTCTGCTCTGAGAAGCAGGTTGGAGAGAAGCCGTTATGCTGCTCTAAAGGAGGCTATGGTGGAATCGCTGTTTGCTCAAGGTTTATGTTTTGCTTTCACATTTGACTTAAGATGAAGATGTCTTATTTTGTGTTACTTACAAAGACTATGTAAGTTTCTTGCACTGTTTGTTTTTTGTATGCAACACTACTAGTTTGTATTTCATCTCTGCTATTAAGAGTAAAGATTTTTCTGTTCATTTCTACTCGTCTGTGTGTCTTGTGCATGGGATGTGGCTAAGATCTGCTTGCTGCGCAACAGGGGGGTCATGAGGGGGTGTCAAAGGGGTCGCTGAAGACCTTCAGAAAACACAGTATTTTCTGTTGGTCATGGGAGTTCTGTGTGGGAAATTTGGCACAATTCTATTGTTGGTAGGGTTCAGAATGCTCTTTGATTGTAGGTGAACTAGAGATCTCAGCAACTACAACTCCCAAATAGCAAAATCAATCCCCCCAACCCCACCATTATTCCAGTTTGTGCCAAATTTAGTCCAGTGAATGTAAATACAGCCTGCATATCAGATATTTACATTACGATTCATAACAGTAGCAAAATTATAGTTATGAAGTAGCAACAAAAATAATGTTATGGTTGGGGGTCACCACAACATGAGGAACTGTATGAAGGGGTCACAGCATTAGGAAGGTTCAGAAACATTGGTGTAGACTTTATTGTCGAAGGCTTTCATGGCCGGAATCACATGGTTGTTGTAGATTTTTTCGGGTTATATGGCCATGTTCTAAAGGCAGGCGAAACGTCAGGAGAAAATGCCTTTAGAACATGGCCATATAGCCCGAAAAAACCTACAACAACCCATTGGTGTAGACTCATATCATCCAGTTCAAAGCAGATAATGTGGATTATATGACAGTGTAGAAAGGGCCTAATTGGCATTCTTGAAACGGAGACTATTTAAACATATGAAGTTCATGTACTCAGAAACAGGTTATCTAAGTATGATGGCCTTTTTAAATATGATTTACAATAAATACAGCAAATAGAGAGGAGAGAAAAAACACTTGAACATACCTGTGCAGAAGTAGGTCTTTCCTGAGGATTTTCTTTCAAGCATTTCTTAATTAAATCTTCAACTTCTGGCCAGGGAGAGCAGTTATACTCTTTGACAGGATCTAGGATGTAATTTTCTGGGGTTCAATTGATGCAACACAACAACAGAGGCTGCTATTAAGTGTAGTAGACTTTTCTCTTACAAGAGTCCGTTCAGTCACAGGAGTGTAACATAACGTCTATGTAAGATTAAAAAATACCAGGCAGAGGGTTACCTACTTCCTGATTATTAGACAAATTATACTACTTTTGCAGAAAAGGCTGGAGAGACCATTGATGCCTTGAACAGCATCATTCCTCGCTTAAAATGGTATTCCAGGAAAAAAATAACCTTAGGACAAGAATGGAAAATTTTACAATTTTTCTCTTGTAAAATTCTAAAATATGTGATTGCTGTGTGAACACACAGCACTCCCAGCTTCATGAGAAAACGAAGCATTTGTGATCACTTGCCCGAGGAGAATTCCAAAAACATGCCCTTGCTCCCACTGTATTTCCCTTCGGCTTTAGGCATCCTTCACTCCTAACCCCTTAAAAAGTGGAGGATCTACTATATTGCAAAGCCATCTACTATATTTTCAGAACTTAGACAGGGTGCTGATATGGGTCCAAGCACTTCAGACACTAAACATTACTGTATATACTCAATACAAGACAACCCAAATATAAGCTGAGGAACCGAATTTTATCGCAAAAAAATGGGAAAACGTATTGACTCGAGTATAAACCAAGGGTGGAAAATGCAGTAACTACTGGTGAATTTCAAAAATAAAAATACCAATAAAATTACATTGATTGCGGCATCAGTAGGTTAAATGTTTTTTAATATTTATGTAAAACTGTAAGATAAGACTGTCCAACTCTGATTAAACCATTGTTCTAACCTTCTTCAATGTAAATGTGCTTACATATCCTTCCAATAATAATAAAAAGAGTAAAATAATAAATGTAAGATATTTTTTTTGTCGTGTCAGGAGCAACCGCTCCTGTTGTGAGAGAATTGGCCATCTGCAAGGACGTTGCCCAGGGGACGCCTGGATGATTTTTGATGTTTTATCATCCTTGTGGGAGGCTTCTCTCATGTCCCCGCATGAGGAGCTGGAGCTAATAGAGGGAGCTCATATGATGGGAGGAGGAGCGGAGGGCAAACGCACAGGAGGGCGGCGAGAGAGCTGGAGCTAAAAAGGAGGTGGGGGTTAGCGGGAATGTTGGGTGCAGCTCGAATGTCAGAGCCACAGCTGGGAAAGAGGAGGAAATGAGAAGTAGCTGCGAGTAATAGGAGGGAGCTCATCAGCCTCTACCCAGATTAATAATAAATGTAATAATATATAATAATAAATAAGATAAAATAAATAAATGTAATAAAAATAATAAGAGTAAAATAAAACATCATAACAATAAATAGAGTAAAATAATAAAATGTAATAACAATAAAAAGAGTAAAATAATAAATGTAATAAAATAATAATAATAGAGTAAAATAATGGAAATGTAATAATAATAAATAGAGTAAAATAATAAATAACTGAGTATAAACTGAGTGGGGCTTTTTCAGCCTAAAAAAGAGCTGAAAAACTCAGCTTATACTTGAGTATGTATGGTAATTTGAATTACCAATTGTAACACGTTGGCTCAAATGCTACATGAATTCTAATCAAAACATGGCATTATACTTTTAGTAGGATCTGTAACTTGTTTCTCTTCAGTGTAAATGGCAATTGTTTACTTGGGAATTCCTTTCACCTTTTCTTGAGGTCAGTTTCCATCATACAGAATCCATGACAGAGGCCCTACAACGAAATTCTCTTCCTCCAAATTCACATTGTGTTCCATGGCTCATTTCATATGACAGAGACATTAAACAAGGGAAAATAATACTATTGAACAAAATGAGCACATTGGTGAAATTCAGATTGGACTCAGTTTGCTCTGTAACCTAGAAGGTAAACTCACAAACAAACTCAGCTTCCTTGTGAGCTCAACCCCAGAGCAAATCCAGGAAAGTTGAGCAGACGTCAGGACAGGGAATGCAACCAAAGATCCTAAGATGATGTCAGCTATTTGAGCTTTCAAAATAGCTCTCATCTGCTAGAACTGGCCAGAAGAATTTGTTCATGTCTTTTCAACTGACCTGTCTGTCAATATGTTCAAAGTTTGCCCATGCCATCCATATGTGTTTTTTTTGTTTTTGATTTTTTTTTTGGCGTGTCAGGAGCGACTTGAGAAACAGCAAGTCGCTTCTGATGTGAGAGAATTGGCCGTCTGCAAGGACGTTGCCCAGGGGACGCCTGGATGATTTTGATGTTTTTATCATCCTTGTGGGAGGCTTCTTTCATGTCCCCGCATGAGGAGCTGGAGCTGATAGAGGGAGCTCATCCGCCTCTTCCCGGATTCGAACCTGCAACCTGTTGGTCTTCAGTCCTGTCGGCCCAGGGGTTTAACCCACTGCGCCACCGGGGGCTCATGCCATCCATATGTGTGTGTGTGTATAGACACACACACACACATTTATATATAATATTTATATATATATAGTACACATATTTGTATATATAATATAGAATATTATATATAAACATTGGGGCTCCACAAGAAACTTTTGCTTCAAAAAGGGCTCTGCGGCTAAAAAGGTTTGGGAGCTCCTGATTTAGGGCCATCTTTTCCATTGAGAACACAACCAAATATAAGATCTTCAATGGAAGCTCTTCTCAATGTTTCACCTGTAATATAAGAAATTCAATGTGAAGATTTGAAAAATGTAACATTAATATGATGTTTAGGAATGACTGGAAGAATGGAAGGATGTATGGATGCAGTTAATAATTTTGGGAACACCAGTAAATATTAAGGCCTGCAATTAGGCATGTGGGGGGGGGGGGGGGGGGGGGGGGGGGGGGGGGGGGGGGGGGGGGGGGCTTGAGGGGCTTCAGCCCCCCCCCCCCAAATTCTCATGGTGGTTCGCGAAAAGGCCTTACTGGTGCATTATTTAAACAACAAAACACTACGTTCAGCCCCCCCCCCCCGAAATGCATTATTATGTTATATTTATTCATATCATGATCTGATCACCATACTCAATATATCCCATATGCATGGGGGTATTGGGGTAACGATACAAAAGGTTTGCTAGGGTAGATCCTCTTTCACTCAGACTCAGCCCCCCCCCCCAATCAAACTCAGCCCCCCTCCCCCGAATCGAAATCCTGGCTACGGGCCTGCCTGCAATAACTAACTACCTGCTTGCTGGACTGTGATTAAAACCTGCTAATAAGAAGTGAAAAGTAAACTCTGATAAGAACAGTGACAATGGTTCTTTCAAGTTCAGGAAATGTTTGCAGCATTCCTTATGTTAAGAAGAAAGTCAATGTAAGGCTAAAACCAATCAAGAAGAGTCAATATCTGGCCAGGAAACTGAGATGGAGCCAGGATGGAAAATGTCTATCATTAATTTACAACTTTGGGACTACATCAACAGAATATTCCTATAAAAGACTCAGTCTAATAATGCTCAAAGTGTGGCTGAGTAGTCTATTCCACCCGCTATGCTCTGCTCTATGGGAAGGAGGGAGATAGTGTACCTAAGGAGAGTGGCAGATTTACAAGGGAACAGTCTGGTCACTTTGGACTTCTTTCTCAAGGGAAGAGGAAGAAGTGCATTTTTGCAGTCTTAGATTTTGTGCAGTGAGTCAGGTTCTGCTGTATGGAAAACAGAGATCTGGTCCTTGGCACTGTTCTTAGGGAAAGAAGTTTTGACATTTCGGCATTTTGAAATTTTGGCGTTATGGAACTATGCATTGGCAGGCTGCAGGAAAGCAGGGTCTGGCCTAACAGGTGCTTCTCCATGGAGGGAGAAAATGATATGGTAATATTTTGGATGCATGTAAATGAATGCATATACATGTGATGTGAATGTTGAGTGAAAATGTAATTCCCCTTTGTTTGTTTGTTAACCATGTAATTGTAAATCCAATGTAGTTGCATAGAATCTATATGTCTGTATGTCCAATGTCATTCTTTGTCTAAATGTTTTCTGTAATTTGATATACCTTTGCACACTGGATCTTGCAATAAAAAGAACCTATGCTTTAAAGTCATTGAAAAGTCATTCATGACACACCAACAGAAGAGTTACATTTGGTGGGAATATGAAAAGGGTCTTTCCCAAAACTTAGGTGAGTTTACTTTTTTGCACAGGAACTCCCCAAATAATCCAGCCAACACAGGCAGTAGATCTCCTACTGGTGCTCCAAATTGAATGGGAATTCTCCTGCTGTAGTCCTTAGGTTTTTCTTTTCTTTTTAAAATATATTTTATTGATGGTTTTTTCTTAAACATATATGGGGGAGATGTAAAATAAGAATAAAAATGATAAAATGAAAAGTGGAATCTCCAGGATAAAGACAGGCAAATGGGGGTATTTCTTCAATGTTTCTCAGTATTATTTTGTAAATAAGCAATATTCATTTTATGTGTTATTGGTATTAGTTGCCTTGGACACTTAGTGAGGAAAAGTGGGCTATGAGGATATATAAACCCATTTTCCTACTTCCAACAGACCTCACTACCTCTGAGGATGCCTGCCATAGATGCAAGTGAAACGTCAGGAGAAAATGCCTCTAGAACATGGCCATATAGCCCGGAAAAACCTACAACAACCCCAGTGATTCTGGCCATGAAAGCCTTCGACAATATATATACCATTAGAGATACTAAAATTCAAAATATATTTCTTCACAGCCTCCTGGCTGCAAATTTATGACTTTTAGTCACTCTCTTCCGCCAATAGTTTGACTGTACTTATTCCCAAAGTCTCTCTGTTCTATTTAACTGATGATTTACACCAGGGGGCCTCAAACTAAGGCCCGGGGGCTGATACGGCCCTCCAAGGTCATTTACCCGGCCCTCGCTCAGGGTTAACCTAAGTCTGAAATGATCTGAAAGCACACAACAGTAACAACAATCCTATCTCACCAGTCAAAAGCAGGCCCACACTTCCCACTGAAATAGTAATGTTTATATTTGTTAAAATTGTTCTTCAATTTAATTATTGTATTGTATTCTCGAAGGCTTTCATGGCTGGAATCACTGGGTTGTTGTAGGTTTTTTCAGGCTATATGGCCATGTCCTAGAGGCATTCTCTCCTGATGTTTCGCCTGCATCTATGGCAAGCATTCTCAGAGGTAGTGAGGTCTGCTGGAACTAGGAAAAAGGGTTTATATATCTGTGGAATGACCAGGGTGGGACAAAGGATTTTTTTTGAGAGGTGATTAGATGTCCTTGTTTGTTTCCTCTCTGTTGTTGTGCTGTTCTAATTTTAGAGGTTTTTTTAATACTGGTAGCCAGATTTTGTTCATTTTCATGGTTTCCTCCTTTCTGTTGAAATTGTCCACATGCTTGTGGATTTCAATGGCTTCTCTGTGTAGTCTGACATGGTTGTTGTTGGAGTGGTCCAGCATTTCTGTGTTCTCAAATAATATGCTGTGTCCAGGTTGGTTCATCAGGTGCTCTGCTATGGCTGACTTCTCTGGTTGAAGTAGTCTGCAGTGCCTTTCATGTTCCTTGATTCGTGTTTGGGAGCTGCATTTGGTGGTCCCTATGTAACAACCACCATGTCAGACTACACAGAGAAGCCATTGAAATCCACAACCATGTGGACAATTTCAACAGAAAGGAGAAGTCTGAGAGGAGATATGATAGCCATTAGGCTTGTTTGATCAAGAAAAAATTTGGTTCTAAACTCGCTTTGTTTCCAGGGGGCGCCAGCGTTTCGAATTTCTGAGGACTTCCGAAATTTGAGATTTCAAAATTTCAAAATTTACGAAATTTCGTTAATTACGAATCAATTCGTTAATGGCGGACACGATTGCGCAATGCGCTAAAAACACCTCCAAACGGGACAGGGGGAACTTCTGAAATTCAGGATGAAATTAAAATACATTAAGTTAGTAAAAATACAAATTAAAATAACTTAAAATTAATAAAATAATAAAATAAGTAATAAGATAATAAAATATCTCCAGGAGGAGGAGGATGATGGGGAGGAAAGGCAATGCTGGCACCTTTTCTCTCCTTCTTTCCCGTCTTAATAATTACGAAATAATTACGAAATAATTACGAAATAATTACGAAAATTTGGAAAAATTGTTTTGATTCTTAATTACTCTTCACACTATTCCTGCATGGCTCGATATTGGATCGTAAGCTAATTTAAATACGAATTAATAACGACTTTAGAAACTTACGAACACGATCAAACAAGCCTACAGGCTACCAGTATTAAAAAACTCTAAAATTAGAACAGCACAACAACAGAGAGGAAACAAACACGGACATCTAATCACCTCTCAACAAAAGATTGCTCCAGGCACTGCCAGGCAATCAAATGCTAATCAAGGTGGTCAGTTGAAACATTCACACCTAGCTCCAGCAGACAAGAGTCCTTTGTCCCACCCTGGTCATTCCACAGATATATAAACCTTTTTTCCTAGTTCCAACAGACCTCACTACCTCTGAGGATGCTTGCCATAGATGCAGGCGAAACGTCAGGAGAGAATGCCTCTAGAAATGGCCATATAGCCCGAAAAAAACTACAACAACACAATTATTGTATTGTTTAAAGTGTTTTTTGCACGACAAATAAGGTATGCTCAGTGTGCATAGGAATTCATTCATGTTTTTTTCAAATTATAATTTGGCCCTCCAACAGTTTGAGGCACTGTGAGCTGGTCCTCTGTTTAAAAAGTTTGAGGACCCCTAGTTTAGAGTATATATTGGTTTCTTTAACAACAACAAAAAACATTCATTATAAGATACATATGATTAGACTGATAAATAAATAGAACTATAAATATAAACTATAAATAGAAGCTAAATAGAACTATAAGAAATAAATCAAGGCATAACTATTTCCTTTAAAGTGGAATAAGCTGAACTCAAATAAGCAGTACTAACACAAGCATGCAATCATTACTCCCTAAGTATTCAAAAAATGGTGCCTTGCTTCTTTACACTGTGGCCTATGCGGTTTCTAAAATTATTTCATTAAAATCCTAAGGGAAACAATATGCAAAATCTCCACATGCCATCACTGGTTTAATAGAATGTTATACACTCAGTTTTATTAGAATTGTATTTACTGAGCTGGAAATGCTTCAAGATACTGTTTCTTGACCATCTGAAATTTTTATTTCACTGCAATCATCTGCTTTTGTGTGATATAAAAGGGAAACATTTCCAAGTTAGCATCATCCCAGGTTATTAATAACTACTGCATCCATACATTAAACACTTGGGAAAAGATAAGATACCTGGCAGTTTTCCATGGATAGCAAGTTCATCAAATTCATTCGGAAATTTCATGCCTTCCAATATCCTCCCACCAGCTGTTAAAATGTCATACAAGAGCAAGCCAAATGAATAAATATCAGCTTGCTGGTTGTAAATAACATTCCCCCGTGCAACTTCTGGTGCTCTAAATCCTAAAACAGAAAACAAAACAAAAAACAAAACAACACATTGTTAATTGTTATGCTTCTTGCTGGGCAGATAGAAATCTTAAGCATGAATTTTAAACTCATGTATATATTTTAATATTTGTTCTCCATATTTTATTATATGTATTTCATATACATATGTTTTAATGGGCTGTGGCTAGGATGCTGTACTATTAATTTTAATGCCTGTTAGTAATATGTTTCATTGGGATCGGTGTTGTTATGTGAACAGATATTGTCAATGTCTAATATGTTGATACAATTTTACCTGTATTTTATGTAGTTATAGTGCTTGTATGCGCTTTTGTAAGCCGCCCCAAGTCCTTTCTGGGAGATTTTTTTTTGTCATGTCAGGAGCAACTTGAGAAACTGCAAGTCGCTTTTGGTGTGAGAGAATTGGCTGTCTGCAAGGACGTTGCCCAGGGGACGCCCGGATGTTTTGCCATCCTTGTGGGAGGCTTCTCTCATGTCCCCGCATAAGGAGCTGGAGCTGATAGAGGGTGCCCATCTGCCTCTCCCCGAATTCGAACCTGCGACCTGTTGGTCTTCAGTCCTGCCAGCACAGGGGTTTAACCCACTGCGCCACCGGGGGCTTTTGGGAAATGGTGGCGGGGTATAAACAAAGATTATTATTATTATTAATAATAATAATAATAATAATAATAATAATAATCTATTTTGGACAGTGTTTTATGATGATGTGTTTTAACTACGTTGTGACCCACATCAAGCTACATGGAAAGGCAAGTAAAATATTATTTTACTTGCCTCTCCGAACATATCTCCTGTTACGAACCATCACAAAGCTTAAGATCATCAGGAGAGGCCCTGCTCTCGATCCCACCACTTTCGCAAATGCGGTTGGTGGGGACGAGAGACAGGACCTTCTTGGCAGAGGCTCCCGGCTGTGGAACTCTCTCCCTAAGGACATCAGATTGGCCACCTCCCTCCTGTCCTTTAGAAGACAATTGAAGACTTGGCTTTGGGACCAGGTGTTCGATTTGTGGACAGCGGCAATTGGAAAGAAACTTAGGTTTTCTGTGACACTGGATTAGGTTTTAATTGGCATATTTAATTTATTGTTTAATGAACTGTATAATGTGTTTTTATTGATTTTTAATGTTTTAAATGTAATTTTTGATTGTTTATATATTGATAGCATCATATGATGGTTGTGTGAGGCTGCCCTGAGTCCCCTTTCGGAGGGGAGAAGGGCGGGGTAGAAATGCATGAAATAATAATAATAATAATAATAATAATAATAATAAAGACTGGCACAAGCCAGTCAAGGTGGCCCCAGTGGTGATCGGCACACTGGGTGCAATGCCTAAAGACCTTGGCCTGCACTTAAAACACAATCGGTGCTGACAAAATTACTATCTGTCAGGTGCAAAAGGCCACCCTACTGGGATCTGCACACATTATTCGCCGATATATCACATAACCCTAGACACTTGGGAAGTGTCTGATGTGTGATCCAATACAACAACCAGCATAGTGATCTTGTTTGCGGTGTACTAATCTTGTTATGTTTCAAATAATAATAAAGACAAGTGCAGTAGAAACTCAATGACAAGAACATAAAAAAACACTTATGGATCATATGAGGCATGAGTTTGTGGAAGGTAATTATGCAATAAAGATTATAGACTAGTTCAGAAGAATATTCTCTTCATATCAAACGAAAGAGATCAGTAAATTCCCAAAAGGCTTCTGCACTGACTCCACAATGTAATAAGGGTGTGTTATGGCGACACACCCTTATATTTTGTTTTGTTCATCTTATGGTTATGTTGTTTTTTTACTTTGTATGTTTTGTGATGTTACCTGGGAACCGCTCTGAGTCCCCTCAGGGAGATGGAGCAATATATAAATAAATTATTATTATTATTATTATTATTATTATTATTATTATTATTATTATTATGGAAACCACAGACAGAAGTTGAAAGATCTTAAGTAGAAAATGTTGGCTAAAAGAGAATATGGGCAGGAGTAAGTATAGCTTAAGTAAATATAGGTTAAGTTTGCAATTCTCAGCATCCCTCATCATTAAGGCTGATGGGACTTGCAACCCAATATTTGCTAGGTGCCACAATTTCATTCTTGGAATGGAGCTTCTCCTGACCTGACTTTTCTCAACCTATTATTACAACTCTGTCTTCAGCAGTTAACATGACCAATTACAGCTGCCTGTTGGGATGATGACAACTGTAATCCATCATATTAGAAAATATATAGTTGAGGAAAGCTGTCTTATTGTAAGGGCAAAATGTGAAGACTCTTGAGAACTTTTTCTCCTTCGAAATGAAGGACAGAGTAAGGCTGGTCAGTGTCCATGGAGTTTCTACTTTCTACTGCTTAGGTTTCTCATACACATTAACCATACAGTCTTGGTAGCAAAAAGATTCCTGAGATGCTTTCATATGAACAAATATTATGAAGTCTTTCATACCTGGTGTGCCTTCAGATGTTTTTATTCCCATCCTGCAACAATACTGGGCAATACCATAATCAGCAATCTTTGCAATGACAGCTGAATTAGGATACAGTGTAAAGAGCAGCACATTATGGGGTTTCAAATCACGGTAGATGATCATCGCTGAATGAAGGTATCTATAAGAAAATAATCCATATTATAGGGGAAATTTAATGAGGCGATTGCAATGGTGGATCAGCGAGCAGGGCCTCCCTGGACGATCTTAAGGTCCTAGGTGGTTCGTAGCGGTAGATATGTTCGAACAGTTAATAAATAAAGTATTTAATTTAATGAGGCATTAAATTTTGCCATAAATATGTTGGAAACCGCTTTGAGTCCCCCCACCCCCAGGGCAAGAAAAATGGTATACAAGTGAAGTATTTATTTATTTATTCATTTATTTTGGACATTTATATCCCGTCCTATCTCGACCTCCACAGAGGGACTCAGGGCGGCTTACAACAAAAGCATAAATATACATCTTAGATAAAAACAGTATAAAACATTATAAAATCAGTAAAACGTTAGAACAATTGCCAGAATTAAATCGTTGTCCTACACACAATCCATTCGGGTCCATCAGAGTCCATTAAACCATAGCTCTACCATCACATCGGTCTAGTCTGCAAAGGCCTGATCCCACAGCCAGGATTTCACCTTTTTCCAGAAGGTCAGGAGTGGATCTGATTTCACTTGGGAAGGAATTCCATAGCTGAGGGACCACCACAGAGAAGGCACTGTCTCTTGTCCTCACCAACCGCGATTGCGATGGTGGGGGGGACAGCCATCCCCGGACAATCTTAAGGTCCTAGGTGGTTTATAGCAGGAGATACGTTCAGACAAGTAAACTGGGCCAGAACCATTAATAAATAAAGTATTTAAATAAATAAATAAATAAAATGCAAATGGGATGCATATATTACAGTATCAATCCCCACCTTCTTTATCAAGTGAAATAAAACAGAGAATTCCAATGCTTGCAACATTCTCACATTTAGAATACTGTATTTGAAATATGTGACTCATAAACATTATAGAATCACAGTAGGATACAAAAACATAAACCAGAAAATCCTTTGTTAAGTGAAAATGATTTAAAAGAAAGGAAATGAAAACTTCTAAAATATGCGTAGAGCTGGAAAAGCCCCCCCCCCCAAAGCTGCGCCCATACCTTGGGAAGTCTAACTCGGCCACGGTGGTCCACGCTCTCGTTACATCTAGAATAGACTACTGTAACGCACTCTACATGGGGTTGCCTTTGAAGACTGCTCTGAAGCTTCAAATAGTCCAACGAGAGGCAGCCAGGTTAATAACTGGGGCGGCATACAGGGAGCATACAACTCCCATGTTACACCAGCTCCACTGGCTGCCAGTTTGCTACCGGGCACAATTCAAAGTGCTGGCTTTGGCCTATAAAGCCCTAAATGGCCCCGMCRCAAATTACCTGTCCAAARGCATRTCCCTCTWTGTACCARRGCGGAMATTAAGATCCTCRYGGGAGGCCCTGCTTTRCGTCCCGRCARTGTCACAGGCYCGATTGGTGGGGACGAGYGACAGGGCCTTCTCGGTGATTGCTCCCCYGCTATGGAACTCCCTTCCTTGTGAGATCAGGTCGGCCCCCTCCCTCCTGTCCTTTAGAAGGATGGTAAAAACTTGGCTGTGGGACCAAGCTTTCYGGACAGGGCAATGAAYCGYRAATYGGAAAGATGACAGGGCCAATTGGATTTMATGCGYATGGCTAGGASGGTTTTAAATTGTGTTWTTTTAAATGGTGTATTTTAATATTTAGATAAATYTTTTTTAATYTTTATGTATTGTACCCAGGCATTGAATGTTTGCKATGTATATGTTGTGCTCCACTCTGAGTCCCCTTTGGGGTGAGAAGGGCGGAATATAAGTGTTTTAAATAATAAATAATAATAAATACAATTCTACAGGAGATTTAATAGTTTTACCTTAAGCCATCTGCAACATGTAGGGCTATCCTGTGCTGGAGAGTTCTTGTCAAACTTGCATTGTCTTGTTGCAATAATCGATCCAGAGATCCCTTCGGGGCTAATTCCATGACAAGCATCCGGGGACGCACTGCTGCAGCCAGCAAGAATACCAAACTAGGGTGATGAAGATGGCAAAGCACCGCCAGTTCCTAAAAACAGCAAATCCAAGTGAATGTTGTACATACTACCAAGAGCAGAAGGAAATCAAAACATACTTGGGGTGGGGGGCCAAAAATAGATTTGGCCTCCATGCAGGATTGCACTATTTAATCTACTGGGCATAATTTGTAGAATTATGACACGTTTTAAACAAATGTGATTATCTTGATGGCATCTAGGAGTGACAAATTCCCTTCTGTGAGTGTCTTCTTACTTCTTACTTAAAAGAGGCAATACTCCAAAAATGAGTTGAGACCACATGAGATTTACAAGTTATACTTTCCTTGTGTTGCATTGGTATGTTATAGGGTATGTTATAGGGGTGTGCATGATTTTGTTTCACAATGGTTTTAACCTACAAAACCCTATACGGCTCTGGCTCGGTTTACCTGTCTGAACTTATCTTCTCCTATAAACCATCAAGGACTTTAAGATCTTCCGGAGAGGCCCTGCTCTCGGTCCCACCACCTTCGCAGGTGCATTTGATGAGAACGAGAGACAGGGCCTTCTCTGTGGTGGCCCCTCAGCTATGGAACTCTCTCCCCGGTGAGGTCTGCCCCTTCTCTCCTGTCATTCAGGAAGCAGCTAAAATCCTGGCTTTGGAGTCAAGCATTTGCAGATTGCTGGTGACCCGATATAGACTAAGAGTTATTGACCACAATGTTCTGGACTGAGTTGGATGTTGTTTTTAATGTGATGAATTGTTTCATATGTATTTTAGAACTTATTTATTGTATGTTGTTTTATGACACAATTTATTGTATAGCATTGAATTTTGCTGTTACCCATTCTGAGTCTCTCTACGGATGTAGAGAAGAACGGGATACAAAAGTTCTAAATAAATAAATAAAATAAATAAATTTGGGATTTGGGGAAATTCGGCAATCTGGCAGCCAGATTGCCGAAAACAGATCGGGGGGGGGGGGGGGGGGGGGGGAGGAGACAGCTGAAGACTCAGCCAGAACGGACTATGTGGTGCCAGATCTTTCGGCTACATTTGGGAGATTTAGCTGCTCTATGATCGACAAGAGCAGCCACGCACAGATCATCAGTGGATGACCCGAACGTTCCAAAACATGGGGGGGTGGGGGAGTTGCAATCGTAAATGTATATTCCATTTGTGGCGTTTTCATCCCGATAGCCATAAAAATGACAGAAAGAGGACCCTCGCAAGTTCTCCCATTGTTGCCAATGGACTGGATCTTCCTGGAACATAAACAGAACTTCCAGCTGACGGATCACGGAATGGTATCCCCCCCCCCCATTTCTGAAATGTCTTGGTAAATGGAACGGGGAGGGGGAATGGCAGCTGGAAATGGCACTTTTTTGGCATCTCGCATACCCCCTAGAACCATGATGGCGAACCTATGACACGTGTGTCAGCACTGACACGTGTAGCCATTTTCGATGACACACAGCCGCATGCGGCCGCATACAGAGAAGATGGGGCCGCATCCCAAGAAGGACATTTCATCCTCGGCTCCTACACCAGCATTTTTCTATAATGCCAAGATATATGGCATTATAGAAAAAGCAGGTAAGTTAAATAATTAGTTTTTGGTTTATTAAATACAGTTATATATTACAATAATATTTTTGTTATTAAACTATAAATATCATGAAATTATGTTTTTTTTCTCAAAGTGACACCCCACCCGAGTTATGCTCGGTTTTTTTTTTTTTGGCGAGTATTGACACACCAAGCTCAAAAGGTTGCCCATCACTGCCCTAGAATGTTGTTGAGATTTACAAGAAATGCATAGTTGTTGGCTAAATCCATCTCTTTTTTAAAAGTACATAAAAACAACAAGATGAAGTATTTTGGCCACATAAAGAGAAGACAGGAAAGCTTGGAGAAGACAATTATGCTGGGGGAAATGGAAGGAAAAAGGAAGAGGGCCGACCTAGGACAAGATAATAATAATAATAATAATAATAATAATAATAATAATCTTTATTTGTACCCCGCCACCATCTCCCCAATGGGGACTTGGGGCGGCTTACATAAGGCCAAGCCCAACAACACAATACAACAGATAAAATCAAAACACAAACAACAACATGATAAATTACATAGTACGTAAGATTAGGAACACAGTAAACAAAAATAAAATTACAATAAAATCATTCATAACATAAAATAGAACACTGAGCAGGCTGCCTGTACAGACTAACATACTAAGGCTAAAAACACGGGGTGAGACAGCAATGGAGCAAATTATTTGTGGGGGAGAAAAAGCACCTTCATACAGAAGAGGAGAGGGTATGCACTAAAGACAGATGTTGAGGGAGATGGATGGATGGCATCCTTGAAGTGACTGGCTTGACCTTGAAGGAGCTGGGGGTGGTAACGGCTGACAGGGAGCTCTGGCGTGGGCTGGTCCATGAGGTCACAAAGAGTCGAAAGCGACTGAATGAATGAACAACAACAACAAAGACAACCAAGGATGTCTACTAATAAAAAACACTCTCAGCCACCATTGTCATCTAAGTATCATGGAGGAAGGTTGCACCTGCATTTTAAGCTCACTTCATAGCAAAATTAGATTGTTTGTTCAATATTCCTGCTTCTTGGCAGGGGGTTGGACTGGATGGCCCATGAGGTCTCTTCCAACTCTATGATTCTATGATTCTATGACAGTCAGCCCTTCTCTGCCGTCTAGATGTTTAAGAAGGAAGGAAAGAAGACACAGAAGCATGTTTCTTCTTTTAAACAGCTAAAACTTTCAGTTGTGATGCATATTTCAAACTATCTATATAAAAAGCTGGTAACTTGCTTACTTGTCTTAAGAGACGAAGAGAAGTGTGCTTATTAAAAATCTTTACAGCCACGTCTTCTCCACCATAAGAAGCACGATATACAGATCCAAACCCACCATCACCTTTTCCAAAAGAAAACAGGGGGCAATGTTAGAAATGCATGAATATGACAAGGATTGTTTTTCAAATTCCCGGAGAAGTATTTCTATAATATTATGTCATTTCTAAAGCAGGGGTCCTCAAACTAAGGGCCGAGGGCCGAATCCAGCCCTCTAAGGTCATTTACCCGACCCTCGCTCAGGGTCAACCTAAGTCTGAAACAATTTGAAAGCACACAACAACAACAACAACAATCCTATGTCATCAGCCAAAAGAGGTCCACGCTTCCCTTTGAAATACTAATAAGTTTATATTTGTTAAAATTGTTCTTTATTTTAATAATTGTATAGTTTTTAAGTGTTTTTTGGACTACAAATAAGATACGTGCACTGTGCATAGGAATTCATTCATGCTTTTTTAAAATTATAATCTGGCCCTCCAAGAGTTTGAGGGACTGTGACCTGGCCCTCTGTTTAAGAAGTTTAAGGACCCCTTTTCTAAAGTATTAGTTAATGTTTTACTGAACAAATTATAGCCAACAGAATTCATCATTAAATTATAATTAACACACACACACTTGTGACTTTTGCAGATTTGATTATTCATGGATTTGATAAAATGATTGACTCTTGGGAACTCCTAGTACTCCAATATAATTGTTTTCTATCTTAATTAAATGTTTTAACAATTTCATTTGCTTTAAAATATTGTAATAGAAATAAGATAGCTCTTGTTGCAGTAAGGCGAGGGAAAATAACAGATACCTAAAAGAAATTCTGGAGTTTGGTCAAATTCTAATTCATCATTGTTCAACATGATATTTCTAGGCAAGTCAGCCAGGATCAGGTCTGGAGCAATCTGAGCTATTGGAATGGTAGATTTGGGTTGATTTGGATTAACCAGGAGGTCACCTATGAGTTAAGAGAAATAGAGATGCAGTGAACTGAATTAGCAGACAAAATAGAACACTTGTTATTCTATACTCAAATACTTACACTATAGTTAAAATACATAATATTTATAATACTTATACAAGTATCGTGTTTCTCCCTAAAATGGTAAGCGGCATTGATTTTTTTTTACCAGGAATTTTTTTTGGTAGGCCTTAATTGTACCATAAATTGACTTGAAAGCACACAACAACACAAAGCAGAATGATATGGGTGGCATAATTAACTAGTCATTAATATATCTTAATACTAGGATATGGACGCTAAAAGATATATTGGAAATGTGTTCCAGAACAGCTTAATTTAAGTGCTATGCATACCCTCCTCTGCTTTTTTAAGTAGATCATCAAGTAATATTTTCTGATGCTCTTCACCATCTTCAAAACTATACAGAACCCATTTTTTCAAAAGGGTTTCTCCTTCGCCACACACATCAACCTCTAGTAAGCCAGGGAACCATTCTTCCATAAGAGAATCAATGTGATCAACGACTTGCCCCAAGAGGATACAACCTGAGGAGAGAGAGCCAGTAAAATATTATTAGAACTGTAGAGTGCTCGTACTGAATCTGACCTCTACCATTAGGCATATGGCTGCTAAAAGTCTTGTTTGCATCATGGTGTCCAAGAGTATGTAAATTGTTAACTTGTGCTTAAAAGTCCCTGCCTAATGTTTGACTTCAGTTTATAGTTCAAAGCTGAGAAGAGATCTCAATTTAGCAACTTGATCGTACAGCTCTCACAGCCTTTGACAGGAGGAGGGTCAAGCCTACGCACTTCTATTTCCTTTGTTCACTGCTGCATTCCATCACATGATGATGATGATGATGATGATGTTTAATTATACCCTGATTTTTCTCTCCACAAGGAGACTCATACCTGCGAGTTCATTTTACATAAATCATGGGAGAGTATGGTTAGAACTGGTTGTGAAGAAACCCATATCTATCACTTGTCATAAGAAGATGCTGAAATGTTATCACCTGAAAAATGTTATCACCTGAAATAAAGTGGTATCTTGAATTGAGAGTTTAATTCATTCCGTGACTGAGCTCTTAACTCAAATCACTCTTATCTCAAAGAGAAATTGCCCACTGAAATGCTATTAATACATTTCTGGTCCATGACCCCCAACTCCCATTTTTTGTTGCGTGCTTTTAAAAAAGAAAATGTACTTTATAAATAAAAATAATGTCTAAATGCACATTCATATGGCACAATAATAAAGAATCAACATCAAAATGGTAGAAGCACAAAGTTGTGGCAAGGAAGAACAAAATGAAGAGGCAGAAGCATCATTTTCTTCATACTGTACCCATTCCAGCCTGCCTCCCTCTCTTGCTCTCCAGAGGCATTCTTTTTTCATCCTGTACTCATTCCAGCCTCCCTTCCTCTCTTGCTCCCTCTCCCTCTCTCTCTTCATGAAGCCAAACATGCCAGGAATAAAAACCACACCAAATCTACTAACCCAAAGTTCCTCAAAGTGGACAAGAGTAATATCCCAAAGCAAACAAGAGCACAAGGATAGAGGCTACTCCCTTGAAGCTCTAAAGCCTCACACTAGCACTCTGGTGCTAGCACTTAACTCAAAATGTTGCTTGTATATCAAAGCAAAACCAGGGCTGAGTGATAGCTCTTAACTCAAAATGCTCTTAAGTTGGGATGCACTTAAGTTGAGGTTCCACAGTACTGGAATACTTTCTCTGCTATAGACCAAGACTGATTAAACATTAACACTCATAATTCCTTTAGGACTGAAAAATTAGTATGTGACTCCAGTTATATAGGTAAGACAACAGGAAGTGAGAGGAAATCTATCCCTCGGAAAGGAAATTCACTCCTGGAAGATTTATCATATGGAAAACATGTCTCCACTTTTATCATCAATTTTTGCTTCCACAATAACCCCAAATTTTTCAAAATCCAATTGTCACAATAATAGAAAGTGAGCTGAAATCTTCTAAACAATTCACTATGCTATCGTTACATACAATTTCAACTTAAGAACAAAACCTATTTTGTTAATAACCTGGGGACTGCCTGTACAGCTGAAGCATCTCCACTATAAACACTGCACAAAAGAATCGTAAATGTCTAAATAACCACTAGATGTCGAAAGGGCCTCAGTGGGTACCAAAGGCTCACTGTAACACCAATAGAGCTTAATCTTATAACAGTGATATGTTCTAGTTTTGTCTATCTTTCTATCTATCTATGTTGGAGAAACTGCAACCAGTTTCAGTTCATAACAATGCTAGTCTACAACTAGGAACCTGCTGTGTGTCTGAAGAGCAATACAAATCAAAATCTAAAACAACTATGGAATAGACTGTTAATAAATTTAACCTTTCCTGCAAGAAGGCACAGTAATTTTTAGGAAACTGTTTGGATTGTTTTCGAAAACGGCAGATTCCACCAAGCAATAGGCTTCTGGGGACCAGTTCAGGTATATGCCTTGCCTCCAATACATCCTATTAGGACGAAGAGCACATTCTAAGGAGAGAAAGAGAAAAGATTGCATTATAAGATTATTTTTCTGGTGTAAAGCAACACTGGTTATTTTATTTAAATGCATGGACCTCTCGTATATATGTCGCTATCTCTTGCTTAGCAAGATCTTAAAACTAGCAACTGTTGTGCGGGAAAACTAACACGGTGGAGTTTTCAGTTGACTCCCTTAATCTGGCTGCTCTTGTGAGAAACATTAAGAACTATATGTGTACCGAAAAAATTAGGGACGAGCAAAAGTAACATCAGCACAAGGTGCTGGAAATGTAAAGGAAAGGAAGGCTCGTACTTCCACATTTGGTGGACGTGTAAAAAGGCAAAAAAATATTGGGGAGAGGTCCAGAAAGAATTACAAGAAATGTTAAAAATCAAAATACCATGGAAGGCAGAATTATTTCTCCTAGGGATGCACGAATCGAAAATAGAAAAGAATACAGATAAGATCCTGTTTCTGATAACAACGGCAGCAAGGATAACTTATGCCAGAAGATGGAAGCAAGAAGATATACCAGACGAAAACGAGAGATTGACAAAAATTTTGGAAGTAAGGAATATGGATTGGCTCACTTTTTTAATAACAAGAAGTAAAGGAATAAAGATGAAGGAAACAAACTGGGAAAAAGTGATGGAATATTTTAAGCAAAGAAACAAAAAGATCCTGACATAATCGAGGAAGAGTTGGAGGGAAGGAAGAGGAAGAGAAAGAACACGAGGAGAGAGGAAGGGGAAGAAGAGGAGAAGGAGGTTAGATGAATGACAGAGAAGACCCTGTGAAAACTCCAGGAAGTCGAAAGCAAGAATCTACTTTTACTCAAATCTTTTTTTTTTTTTAAAAAGGGCTTTGGGCTATAAATCTATCTTTCTTTCTTTCTTCTTTTTATTTCTCTTTCGTCTGTCCTGTCTTGTGCACTATATCACTTCACGTTTCGGGAACTTGATATATACACATACTGTATCTCTCTCCGGTAGCCTCGGCTACTATTTTATATTTTAAATGTATCTGAAAAACTAAATGAAGATTATAATAAAAAAAAGAACTATATGTGTACATGTATTTTACATAATGTTTTATAATGATATGTTTTAAACTGTGCTGTGACTGCCTCAAGCCTCGAAGAGAGGCAGGTACGATAAATTATTATTATTATTATTATTATTATTATTATTATTGGGCTGTTGAAGGTTTTTTGGGCTATATGGCCATGTTCAAGAAGCATTCTCTCCTGACATTTTGCCTAGATCTATGGCATGAATCCTCAGAGGTTGTAACCTCACATTTAAATAGTCTCAGTTTCAAGAATGTCACTATTTAAATAGTCTCAGTTTCAAAAATGTCACTTAGGCCCCCTCTACACTGCCATATAATCCATGTTATCAAAGCAGATAATCCACATTATCTGCTTTAAACTGAATGATATGAGTCTACACCAGGGGTCCTCAAACTAAGGCCCAGGGGCCAGATATGGCCCTCCAAGGTCATTTAGCCGGCCCTCGCTCAGGGTCAACCTAAGTCTGAAACGACTTGAAAGCACACAACAACAACAACAACAATCCTATCTCATCAGCCAAAAGCAGGCCCACACTTCCCATTGAAATACTAATAAGTTTATATTTTTAAAATTGTTCTTCATTTTAATTATTTAAGTGTCTTTTGCACTACAAGTAAGATATGTGCAGTGTGCATAGGAATTCATTCTTTTTTTTTTTCAAATTATAATCCGGCCCTCCAACAGTTTGAGGGACTGTGACCTGGCCCTCTATTTAAAAAGTTTGAGGACCCCTGATCTAGATGGTCTCAACCTTCCAAATGCTGCAACTCCTTAATACAGCTCCTCATGCTGTGGTGACCCCCAACCATAACATTATTTTTGTTGGGTTGTTGTAGATTTATCGGGCTATATGGCCATGTTCTAGAAGCATTCTCTCCTGACGTTTCACTTGCATCTATGGCAGGCATCCTCAGAGGCTGTGGCCCAAAAACCCTACAACAACCCAGTAATTCCAGCCATGGAAGCCTTTGACAATATATTCATAGAATCATAGAATCATAGAGTTGGAAGAGACCTCATGGGCCATCCAGTCCAACCCCTGCCAAGAAGCAGGAATATTGCATTCAAATCACCCCTGACAGATGGCCATCCAGCCTCTGTTTAAAAGCTTCCAAAGAAGGAGCCTCCACCACACTCCGGGGCAGAGAGTTCCACTGCTGAACGGCTCTCACAGTCAGGAAGTTCTTCCTCATGTTCAGATGGAATCTCCTCTCTTGTAGTTTGAAGATTATTATTGTAGATTATTGTAAATTATTACTACTACTACTACTACTACTACTACTATTGAGACCAATAAAAAGTAGAATTCCCCTTGAGCCAGTAATTATTCTAATCCAAGCCTTTGAGACTACAGAAAGTAATTCCACTTCTGATTGCAAAAAAGCGTTTGGGATAAATTTGGAAAAAATATATCTAAGTATATCTAAGATATGGAGACTGAACAACTTACAGTAAAGTAAGAGATTTAACTGAGCAGCAGTTTGGTGATATTGAACAGCTGAAAAATTTAGCTGCTATAACAACAACAACAACAACAACTTTATTTATACCCTGTCACCATCTCTCCAAAGGGACTTGGGGCGGTTTACATGAGGCCAAACCCAGCAATGGAACAATGCAAATATATAACATATAAATACAACAATAAAATTTAAGAAAATAAGATAAAATATAAAAACAATATAAAAAACACATCCGAAAACTCTGCCCATTGTTTAACTGTCTCTGGAATCTCTAACACAGGATTTACAAAATTTAGAAATTCCTGAACACAGAAGAGCTTTTACACAAGCAATATAGAATACACCATAGCCTGCCATTTCTAAGAAGTCCCATTGCAAGATCACGTTTGCTCCTGTGATGATGACATGGCGACATTGAATGAATGGCCCATGTGGTCCTATTATGTCATTTTTCCAGAGATCCGAGGATGGATGTCCTCTCTCTTGACATCTACACTAAAAAGTTCATCTGATTGTTACATATCTTTTCTTTTAGGAGGTCAAAATAATTGACAAGCATAACTACAAAATTAATCATGAGTGCTATTAGAACAAGTTTGAACATGGCTTTCTGAGTTTTGATTCTATATAGCTTTCAGAATGTTTTTCACTGTATATTATGTGGACTTTTATACAGCTATGATGTTTAACATGTTAACTCTACTAAAATACAGCAGGCCCCCTTTCATGGGGGTTAAGGGTGCAGGATCCTGCTAATGTGAAAAAGCAGGGGAAAACACTAATTTTTTACTGGGTTGTTGTAGGTTTTTCCGGGCTATATGGCCATGTTCTGGAGGCAATTTTTCTCCTGACGTTTCGCCTGCATCTATGGCAAGCATCCTCAGAGGTAGTGAGGTCTGTTGGAAGTAGGAAAAATGGGTTTATATATCTGTGGAATGACCAGGGTGGGACAAAGGACTTTTGTCTTCTGGGGCTAGATGTGAATGTTTCAGCTGATCACCTTGATTAGTATTCAATGGCTTGGAAGTGCCCGGGGGGAATCCCTTGTTGAGAGTGATTTTATGTGCCTGTTTGTTTCCCCTCTGTTGTTTTGCTGTTGTGAACAGTTGGCCACAGCAACGCATGGCAGGTACAGCTAGTAAAATATATAAAATGCTGCTTCTTATCCTTTCATTATACGTGATATTAATTCAATGTCTAAAGAGGACAGCTGTTCATGTACCAAGAAGTGAACAGGTATGTACATTGATTAGTTAGCAAGTTTCTTTGAAGTCACTAAGCCTTCTAAATAATCCACAAGCATGTAGACAATTTCAACAGAAAGGAAGAAACCATGAAAATGAACAAAATCTGGCTACCAGTATTAAAGGACTCAAAAATCACAACAGCAAAACAACAGAGGGGAAACAAACAGGCACATAAAATCACTCTCAACAAGGGATTCCCCCCGGGCACTTCCAAGCCATTGAATGCTAATCAAGGTGATCAGCTGAAACATTCACACCTAGCCCCAGCAGACAAAAGTCTTTTGTCTCACCCTGGTCATTCCACAGATATATAAACCCATTTTTCCTACTTCCAACAGACCTCACTACCTCTGAGGATGCTTGCCATAGATGCAGGCGAAGCGTCAGGAGAAAAATTGCCTCCAGAACATGGCCATATAGCCCGGAAAAACCTACAACAACCCAGTGATTCCGGCCATGAAAGCCTTCGACAATACACTAATTTTTTAACCTGAGAGAACACTTCTCTAGGAATCTCTATGTCCACCAGTGTGACTCTATGTCCAAAAGGTGGGGAGGGAGGAGTGATGGAAACCTGGGATACTTCAAGAAAGAATTCAGATGAAAAACCATGAAAATACAGGTAAAATCAAAATAAATACTGAAAATACTTCCAGAGACTTCCCCAGTTTTTGAATAAGCCCAACTTCAGAGTTAAGTAGAAATGAATGTACCTCTTCCAGAAAGCATATAAGAAGACACTTCAAGCAATCTGTTGATCAGCCTGGACCAGAATCCCATAGGAAAATAGGGCATCTCATACAGCCTTATGATAATTTCTGAGTTTTCACAGTGGGGCAATTCTATTACAGGACGGTGATCTGACAAGCTGTTAAGGGGGGGAAACCAATTATTTTTAATTTTTCTACATGTGTTCCCCCTCCCCCCACCCACCCCCAAAGCTGAGAGAAGGAATCAGCAGAAGCCACAATGTATAAACAACATCTTCCTCCAATCTTCTCTGCTTTGATAGACGAGAGGACAATTGTCAAAAATTGAGAAGGAAAACAATTCATGACTCTACTGCACTGCCTTGATGTTAAGCTTTCAGGTCTCGTTTTACCTGCTCGGAACAAGGAGCTGATCTTCTCCTAATGGTAGCGCTATCTGGAACTTCTCCAGGAGCTTGAAGTACTGCGACATATAAACCTTAGGAAATTTGCTTTTCTTTAGCAGGAATTTTTCTACATCAGAACGCTTTATGATTCCTTTTGGATACTTAGGGAAGCCTTCAACTTTCACTGTTAAGATCTATAGAAAAGAAACCGAGCTCTCAGCAATTGTTTTGCCATTTGCTTGTGCTCCACCTCAGGATGTAAACATATTCACGGTTTGGCCATGCAGCAAAAGACAATAAAACAGCGAGACTTTGATGGGACAAAGAAAAATGTACAAAATACATAATGCAAGCCAATGAAACTTCAAAGACATGAATGATATAATGTATTGTCGAAGGCTTTCATGGCTGGAATCACTAGGTTCTTGTGGGTTTTTTCGGGCTATAGGGCCATGTTCTAGAGGCATTTCTCCTGACGTTTCGCCTGCATCTATGGCAAGCATCCTCAGAGGTAGTGAGGTCTGTTGGAAATAGGACAATGGGTTTATATATCTGTGGAATGGCTGGGGTGGGGCAAAGAGCTCTTCTCTGCTGGAGCTAGGTGTGAATGTTTCAACTGACCACCTTCATTAGCATTTGAAGGCCTGGCCTGAGCCTGGGAAAACCTTTTGTTGAGAGGTGTTAAGATGTGCCTGGCTGTTTCCTCTCTGCTGTTTTGCTGTTGTAATTTTAGAGTTTTTTTTAATACTGGTAGCCAGATTTTGTTCATTTTCATGCAGGCCTTCAAATGCTAATGAAGGTGGTCAGTTGAAACATTCACACCTAGCTCTAGCAGAGAAGAGCTCTTTGCCCCACCCCAGCCATTCCACATATATATAAACCCTTTGTCCTATTTCCAACAGACCTCACTACCTCTGAGGATGCTTGCCATAGATGCAGGCGAAACGTCAGGAGAAATGCCTCTAGAACATGGCCCTATAGCCCGAAAAAACCCACAAGAACCTAATGAATGATATATTTGGCACACTGTTTATAAGACTTAGAAAGAATTCATATTTAACAAATGTCTTAGCCCCAGCAGTTTACTGTCATCACCTCAATGTATGCTAGAAGTGATGGGCAGGGGAATATTCTGATTCAGCAAGGAAATGTTAGGGTCCTTCTACACAGGTCCTAAAATCTGAGAGAAACTGGGATAAAGGGTGCTGAAAATGTGCACTAAATCACATAATCGGATGAAAAACATGACTTTAAAAGTTGGGCTTAAAATCAGAGATCAGCTGAAAAATGTGCATCAACATCTTCTTTGAACTGGGTTATCTGAGTCCACACTGCCATATATTCCAGCTCAAAGCAGAAAATGTGGGGTTTTATTCTGCTATGCAGAAGGGCCCTTGGAAAGAGTGACCTGGTAGCAGTCCTGAGAAGTGGCCAAGGAAGTTTGCAGATGCTTGTTGATACCACTATCTTAATGATGCTGTCCTGCCTATATTACGTAGTATGGACTGAAAATAAACACTGTAACCACTGAGAATCAGGACACAGACTTGCTTAGCAATTTCAATGAGTGGAGCAAGTGTGTTGGCAAACATGGCTCCATTGAGGGCGGGAGCTGCACTTGGAAATGAGCACAAAAATATGGAATGTAGCAAACACAGTTATGTCAAGATTGAGACCTTTAAGGTGTATGGAGCCTGCCTTTCATTTCCTTCCTTCCTTCCAATATTGTTGATAGCAAGGTAAGAGATTGTTATGAAATTACGTATGGTTACAAAATTTAGTTAAACATCTAGAGGGAAAACAAAGAGAAACTGAGCTGAAAGGGCATGAGTTCTAGAAAACATCTCAATTTTACCTGTGCCATGATTTTACAAAGCCACTTAGGGTCAACAAAATATAAGTCTCTGAGCTGAAGTGCAGGATCTTGAAAATGCAGCAGAACACCTGAGTGGAAAGTCATTGAATTAACATATGGCATTCAAAGAAAATGGCTTGGCTTAGTTATGACATTGCAATTATCTATATAAATAAAAATGTAATGTTCATTTGTGGGATTAACAGAACTCAAAAACCACTGGACGAATTGACACCAAATTTGGACACAAGACACCTAACAACCCAATGTATGTCCTTCACTCAAAAATTGATTTTGTCATTTGGGAGTTGTAGTTGCTGGGATTTATAGTTCACCTACAATCAAAGAACATTCTGAACTCCACCAATGATGGAATTGAACCAAATTTGGCACACAGAACTCCCATGACCAACAGAAAATACTTGGAAGGGTTTGGTGGGCATTGATCTTGAGTTTTGGAGTTCTAGTTCACCTACATCCAGAGATCACTGTGGACTCAAACAATGACTGATCTGGACCAAACTCTACATGAATACTCAATATGCCAATGTGAACACTGGTGGAGTTTGGGGAAAATAGAATCTTGACATTTGGGAGTTGTAGTTGCTGGGATTTATAGTTCACCTACAATCACAGAGCACTCTGAACCCCACCAACGATAGAATTGGGCCAAACCTCCCACACAGAACCCCCATGTGGGCCACAGCTATGCGTGGCAGGGGGCAGCTAGTATATTACAAAACTGCCTTTGACAAAAGTATAATTTTATGTTATGTTCTGAATTGCATTTAGCTAATCTAATGATTACCAGGGGAGTATCTATGTTTCATGGTCACACTTCTATTACTATTTTTCTCTGTTACAACTAAAGATGTGCCTCCCACATTCAGCATCCCCCAAATTCAGTCCACCTTTCTTCCATTCTGATAGCAACATGGTATGTTGTCTCCTTTTCTTTCTTCTCTTCCTCTTCAGAAGGAAAGGAATTTTCTACTTTCCATGGTATAAAAGACTGCTCCAAAATTCTCCTACATCAGGGGTCCTCAAACTAAGGCCTGGGGGCCCTCCAAGGTCATTTACCAGGCCTTCGCTCAGGGTCAACCTAAGTCTGAAACGACTTGAAAGCACACAACAACAACAACAACAATCCTATCTCATCAGCCAAAAGCAGGACCACACTTCCATTGAAATACTATTAAGTTTATATTTGTTAAAATTGTTCTTCATTTTAATTATTGTATTGTTTTAAAGTGTTTTTGCATGACAAATAAGATATGTGCAGTGTGCATAGGAATTCATTCGTTTATTTTCCAAATTATAATCCGGCCTTCCAACAGTTTGAGGGACTGTGACCTGCCCTCTGTTTAAAAAGTTGAGGACCGCACGCTGGGCCTGTGCATAAGACTGTAGACAGGACATAAATTCTGTGTTCCCAACGGGACGCCGGGGCTGCCTCAGATTAAAGGCCTTTGGATTTCCTTAAAACAGAGTCTTTAGATTGCTTAAAGGTTCAACAAAGTTCTTTATTAATGAAAACAAACAGGTACTTTAAGGCTTTCTTAGCAGTCTATTGGCTCTCTCTCAAGCTTGTCCACAGGGAACAGGCACTATCTTCTTAACTGTAACTAATGGGGAAATCCTTAACTTCTAATCTGGGCAGTCTGTCTTTGCCTCTGTTGGCGTGGAGCCCCTGCACCCGGTACCAACTGCTTCTGGCTTCCGCGAGCGACCCTTACCAAGCAGAGCTTTGTAGACTTCCAGGGAAAAAGGAGTTCAGGTGGCTGACTGAAGTCCTTCAGCAAAGGAACTGTAGGGCTGTATAACCCAGCCAAGCTGTGGGCTGTATATCTCCCCGGCCAAGCCGTAGAAGACGAAGCTTTCTACAGGAGCTCTTGGTATTATGTCCTGCATGAAAGGCTTCTCTGTGTGGACTGAACCCAAAATGGCTCCTATTCCCTCCAAAACCCAAAAAGGGGGGACCAGGGAACCTAACTATAATTGACAGGTGGCTTGCCCTATGATTGCAGCCAAAAGAAGCCACCTATCTGCAGAGTCCCTGAAACTTAGGACTACAACAAACATTAAATGCAAAGCAAACAAAATTGGAGCTCCTGGTACAGCTGTACCTGCACATCTATGTTGACTTGTTGTTCAACAATGATGAGTCCTTCCACACAGCCATATAACCTAGAATGTCAAGACAAAAAATCCCACAATATCTGCTTTGAACTGGGTTATCTGAATCCACACTGCCATATATTCCAGTTCAAAGCAGAAAATGTGGGATTTTATTCAGCTGTGTGTAAGAGGCCTGGGAGAGGTTCAACAAGTGGACCCCCATTATTGTAAGGTTGGCTGTCCTTGCTTTAAGGCAACATATTTCCACAGAACCCCACTGTGTAATGAGCAAGGAAGTTTTGAAAAGTAGATCTTCACTATACAAACTGAAGTAACTGTTTCAATAGTTCAGAACTTAAAATGCAAGTGTGAACCTATGCTGTGAAACTGACTGACTGTCAAAGGCACAAAATTCTTTGAACATGTTTGTTACCTGATTCATTCAGAAAGTGAACAGCATGAGGGAGTTCATTTTCATCCAACTGCAGCTTGTTTTCTTGCACCAATTCAAATAATCGCTTCTGATCAATCACGGGAAATTCAACTGGAACATGTGTGCGTTCCTCTAAAATTCTCTTCTCAAGTTCCAAATAGCTGTCTGGAATTAACTGCCCAACAACAGGCTGGTCTCTGATCTGTACAACACAGATTTTGATCAGGCTCTCTAAAATGCCTCAGTGAAAAATCAAACAGTATGCCCAGAAAAAGAAATGATTTCCCTTAAAATCTGGAGTACAGTTTGAGTCCTGATGCAAATCTGAACAAAGCTTAAAGATGCAAAAATATAATTTATTTTATT